TTCATTGCAAAAGGTTTCTATTCGGTGTTTTAACACCTTAACACCTGTTTTATTGCTAGAAAGGGTAAAACCTATTCTTATAAGAAGAAAGCTTCTCATTGGTGCGGTACGAGCTGAGAAATGCATGTGCAGCGTTGCTATTTGCAAGCATTGATATCAACGTTCCAACAGGCTTGTTTTGTTACTTATCTGTTGACATTCTACACATATGCTCATACCAAAACACAGGAGTAGTATGACTAATGCATTTCATGGTTTCTTGATGTAGAAAATTCAATTCAGAGGTAACTTTTTTCAGCGTGTCGCTGATGAAAACGCCACAAAAATGGATGTCTGTGACACTGCCCCGCATTATAATTCAATTTCCTCTCCTTTGTGTGTCCTTTTTGTGCTCATCTTGCCATTTTTGCCAAAATAATGGACATCTGACTCGTTCCAGAAGTCCGCTCTATCCTAGACAAAGTTCTTTGGCTACTGCTTTGATGGTGTACACCTCAGCAAAAGCCGAATCTTCTTTTTATTAAGATGAAACGTTTTTTTTAAATTGCCATTCAATTCACAGCCATTGGAGCACCAGAAAATGTACGCTCATTGGAACTGCTTTATGCCAACCGCATTGATGCAGGACCTGCAGAGAGCGTCATTTATGCTGTTACCTTGATGTGTGACTTTCAGGCTCTGCTGTTGCTGCTGCGAAATAAGAAAAAAAATTTGACAGGTGGCGAGGTTGCTGAAAATTCTTAAAATGTCACCAATTTTGAAATGCCACCCGAGACGAACACAGAAGGGCCAGCCCATCGCGATTACATTATCACATCATCACCTCTGGTAAATATAAAAGCAGTGCTTCAAAGGCGCAAAATAATTATCAGGGGGTTTTTCAGGCGATGACAATGACACTCACGTATTTTGTGATTGTTATAGATGCACCTCTTTTAAGGGGTGATGGTACTCGTGCCAATTTGATGGCAGAGAAAGCCGTGACAAGTCCAGCTCGTGACGTGCGGCGAGTTGGCGGATGCGCGTTGGGGCCGAGTGTAGGGTCACACAGGGGACCACGCCGATAGAAATAAGGAGAGGGGGGGTGCTGGCAAGAAAGGTGAGACACGGGGATTGTGGGGAAAACCCCAGTGGTAGGGAAACGGGGAGACAAAGGAGCAGGAGCTCCGAGAGAAGAGGTCTCACCGTAAGGATCCGTGTGCGTGCCCTACCTTTAATTGGTGTTGGCGTTGCTTCAAACAATAAAGTTCCCTTGCAGGACGAGTCGTGTGGACGCCCTTTCGCTTATACTATCAACAGGGTAAACGCAAGACGCAGCGGCTAACTCTTTAACCTATCCCGTGAAGCACATTAACACTCTTCCAAACCTAAGAATATAAAGGTACCACTGCAGCATTTAGCACAACACAATGTTGTCCTTATATAAAATATCTGCTTCCCAATCTTGATTTGAAGCTTTCGTGACTGCAGGAATCCATACTCTTTGGTTCTTTCGGGAAAGTCACGTAGGTATAAAATAAAATCACGACGTTTCGGGCGCAACACAAGCGTTCGTCATTTGCTTCCCACTTCCTCCTGCCATTGGCTGTCGCATGAAGATAATGCAGTGCTTTTAATGAAGGCAATTCTTGGGCCAGCTTGAATCCCACCAGGATCTGCTGAAACGGTGAGCCCTGCTGTTGTCCTTACCCACAGTTGGACTGCGAACGAACGAGCTCCATTTTCCTCTCAACCCATGGCAGCATCTCAGGCATCAGAGCCCTGTTACTTCAGGGAGCCCTTGCTTGTTCAGCACGCCGACTGCCGTCATCCTGCGCCGGTTGACCAATCAGGTTGGCGCTCCAGTCCCATAGGCCGGTGTCTATTGTTGTAAAGGCTGGAGGCCCATGGAGTTTCGTGTTTGACGATGTTGCCATCGGTGCACCAACGATGGAGGTCCACTCATGGCGGACTTCTGGAGTAGGAATGGATGCCATGTCCAGTCAACTGGGATTCTAGCATCAACTGCAGTGGACAAATGTGTAGCCTGGTGACCCTATATGTAGCATTTCCCCAGTGGAACGTTGTAGACCCAGCAGAAATAGCACATCCGTGACCTTGACCTGTGACTTCCGAGAGAGATAGGAGATCTGCAATCCATGCCCTTTGTGACGGGGAGGTACAATCTCCCAACAATTGATTGAATGTCCGCCTCTAGGTGGATATGAATCTCCTGGCGATAACATTGCATTTATATATGTTGAAGAGTTGAATGCTTTCGTATAATGGGGGTTTTGCCGTGTTCCCTCAGATTACCTGATTGGTTTATTGTCCACATGAGGATAAACATGCACACATGCCCTTCTCTGGCTGAACGAAAGTATTTTTTAATTACACACGCCACCGATTCAAGGCTGAATGGAAGCTCGGTATACCGATAATGCTCGTCTTGAATGGAAAGTGAGGGAATGTTTATGCTCTTGATGGATGGGAACGAGCAGATAGGTCCACTGATGTCATCCATTCCTAGGGTTGTAAGGCCTTCATCAGATAGCTAAGGGACTCCATCTCAATAAGATAATTACAAAAGTAAACAAATACTAATAATTTCTGTAAATAATTTCCAGAAAGTGCTAGAATTTATTTTGTCACCCTTAAGCAGTGTCAAACTGTCCTCCAAAGTGATAGGGAACACCTGGTCAATTTAAGGCCCGTGAGGTACAAGGTAGCACTAAGCGTTAGTGGATATACTTTGGTGATGATTCCTACAAAAGTGAAACCTGTAAAGAGTTATAATAGGGGTTTTCCCCTTTTTTTCGGGCAACAAAACTGAAACCTTTTTACAAGGATTCATGTCTGCATTAACCACAATACCTGCAGTGAAAATGCAAACAAAAAAGATACTATGATAATATATGTGGCATTGTCCTTGAAACTGATTGGTCCACACCAAGGGATGGCTTTCTTTTGAGCCTCGACCCAATTGGTGCTCGACCACATGACGCCAGAAGGCGTGGTGTGGACCAATCAGTTTGAAGGACAATGCATATATTATCATAGAATGTTTTTTTGTTTGCATTTTGACTGCAGGTATTGTGGTTAATGCAGACATGAATCCTTGTTAAAAAAGTTTCAGTTTTCTTGCCAGAAAAGAGGGGAAAAACCCTATTATTACATTTTGGTACTGGCAAAGGAGGTCTAATGCTGTAAAGAGTTACCGCATTGTCCTGCTGCTGTCCAAAAGGGCCACAATTTTCCAGTCGATCAGTTTGTGTGCATTAACATCATCTATGGTTACATCACGTCACATGCAAGGTATTATGGAAGGACTAATGTTACGTCACAATCATGCCATTCGCTGTCTATAAAACACTCTTCCTCTGCAGTATTTTGCGTCACTCGGCCTCTGGTAATTGAGGATCTGTTTTGAGTAATACCGCTGTTGAAACGGCTTATACTGAGAATGAATATTAGATTTAAATGATACTGTATTTGGCTTTATTATCGACACCCTAGACCAAGTGCAGCTTTGCTGGCAAGTACTTTGACAAACCCTGTAACTCCCACATGTAAATTGGTGACAGATAAGAGGGGTTCTGTAATGGAGATCCCATGGATCTCATTAGTTAATATTTTATTCCTAGAATCACATCACAGTTCTGAGCCGGGTGTAAGGGTTGGTCCATTTCGACCGTCAAACAAGGGATCATGCGAATTGGCCAGCATTACTTTGCATACACTTAAAGATTGCGAATGCTCCCATGTAACTTTTTAAATTTCGTAATATATAATCATTCAGCCATTGTCAACCCACTTCTGAATGAAGGCCTTCCACACGGCAGTCATAAGGGCTGCATGACCATACTTGACCACTGCAGGTTGGTGACGAGGGGGGGGTGGTAACAGGACTCGCCTCTGATTTTGGCCTTTGCTGGACACTGAATTTAGGTGACCAGGTTGGCAGCACAATGCCAAACAGCTGCACTACCCCTTACAATGAGTACTATACAGATAATCACTGCCCTCTTGTGGCTGTGAATCAAGCGTACATCAATTTTCCAATGTTTCACCAGCTGACTCGGCGATAGGCATGCATCTTGCACTGGGGTTGTGTATAACCGAGCCCATCAGAATGTACACGCCAGCCTCATATACGACACCTCTAAGCCATCTGACCGTATGATTGATATTATTGCACATTGTGATGCCAATTCATCGTTGCATTTCTATCAGCCGTCACATGGAAGGCTGACGATGACGATGGAGGATCATCTTCCTCTGACGGGTTTCTTTGATCGTGGCGATCGTTTCCCGTGGAGCTTTATAGTTCTCCACCTTTTGTTTTAATGCCGTCAAATCACACCCCATGCGGATGGCCTCTCTCCTTCCTTTGTTCGTTGTTCTCCATTATGTTTACACACCCAAACGAGATACGCCTACACCTCTAAATACTCCTGGTTTAGTTTTTCTGCGCAGTATATAATATCTAACCTCTTTTTTGCATATCCCTCATTAATTACCCATTGTGGCATATGTTAATACAGTATCTCTTTTACATTTTTTTTTTATAACTGGCTACGATTCAATGTTAAGCTTCTTTAAAATAAAATAAGCTGCATTGAGATTAGCTCACTCTTTGATCCCATGCATTTTCTGTTAACTCTAAACAGTACTCCTAAATGTTAGCGATCCATATATACTTTTTAACTGAGGTGCAATGATGTTAAACTGTCCAGAACACAAAACACCGACGACGACTGAACGTGTGTATGTTGAACTTCTTTCGCACCATACGTAGCCAACCGTGCTCATCGGAGGTGCGGGGGAAGGACAATAAACTAAACACAAAATTAATTTCTAAAGAAATTGCTTTTCAAGCTATATGATTTAAAAGTTTAAAGCTAAAATGGCTTCCTAATATCGGAAGGAGAGCATTCCAGACGTCCGCAGAAGCGCAAAACAGCACTTTGTTCAGTTGAAAGCTTACCCATAATGACAAAAAGGATTGCACGTTCACAACATTCATTAACTACCAGTTTTATTGGAGTGACTTTAACAAAAAAAAGCCAAATTTTAAACAGGTGTGTGAGCTTGCAGTAAGAAGAACACTTATGAACGAACAAATGGGAAACCCCAGAGGGTTCAATGGCAAAACGGACCTCACTCAAGATTCCTGACGCCGCGCAATGTGCAACAAATAAATAACCCACGACTGCCACTGTGTCGGCAGGGCCCCCAGTGTCGCACCGAGGACCACCAAGACCCCAGCACCGGGCTTCACCTCACCGCCACGGAGTGCGGTGTCGGGCCAGAGTGAGCTTCATTTACATTCACACGAGTCAAAACACACGACCTCGTATACAACAGCGGCACGCACGCGTGGCTTATCCTACAACAGTGCAACAATAACAAGAGAGTATGATTAACAATATCAAATGCAACTTTAACTGCGTACGTCAACTAGGCAATGTATTAACATTGCCATTGGCAGATAATAGCAGGTAAAGCTTTGTGAATGCGAACTGTTGAATTTAAAACATCAGGAGAGTATTAGTGTTAACCAAGGTGGGTGAATGAGATTGTAGCAATTGCGATACTCAAATGGTTGGTGCTGAATTACCAAAGTTAACTTTAACACGGAGAGACTGCTGCATCACTTGACCAAATGTCATTACACACACATGACCTGTAGCAACACATCAATGTCAGTTTGTGTGACAGAAAAAGTCTAAGATTGCAACTGCACATTCAACCTCTGTGCAATTAACCATCCACTCTCTCAGGGTATTTTGTATGTGCTGTATTGTATGTTATGGTAAATGCACATGAATCAGTGATGGTACTTTGTGAAATTTTTTGAAAAGCGAAGTTTTTTTTCCCTCTTTTCATTTATGTAAACCGGTGGGTAACAGTGTATCAAAATGATAAGTTACATCATTTTAAGAAAAAAAGATAAGGGTGTAAAATTGACCTTCCCCACATCTAAAATCGACGTACTATATAAAGTATTGCGTACAGCATTGCAGCACTTTGATAAGTTAATGCGCAGGAGCAGGGAATGCACGATTTGACTTTTTAGTTCAGTCCTTGATCCTTATTAACGCACACGGCTCATTAAAAGCCCTGTTAAAACACACACACACACATGAAGCCTACACATGCATACATGTGGGACAACTTGCCAACTGTGTTTTGTATGTACACTCCACCTCGCACTCGCGCACACAGTTTATATTTATTAACAACATAAAGTGAACATATAGTTTGTGTAAATATATATACAACGGTGTCATTATATAGTGTATATATGTATACACACGCTTTCTTGCATGGACAACGCCGCCTCTAGGTAAACTTGGCCGTGTGCGTTGTCGATCCTTACACATTTGAGAATCTGACGAACATTATCTTTACGGCATATCCTCCCAGTGCAGAATGTTTCCTTTTGAGCTCTTCCAGTTACCACTCACACGTGTTGATCGTGCACAGAGTGCATGGGGAAAGTGTTCAGGTGTTTCCACGAAGGATACATTTGTTCGGCGCGCATGTGGGGTGGAGGAGTGAGATGTGACCTATGAACTGCGTACGGACATTCCTCCAAGCTAGGCAAGTAAATCCACCAAATGCTTAAGTGCTGTCAAGGGAAGTCAGACTCAGAACCATGTGGTTTGAAACAATGGTGGGATCGATGGGTCACAGACCCGACAAGAGTTCTGTCCTGGAGAAATATATGATGAGCATAACTGCGTTAAATAAAAGTCAATGATGCCAGTGTAAATTATTAACAAATATGAGTCATCAGAAGCTGGTGTCAGAATTTGTGCACATATGATGGCTTGGGGTCTTGAGATGTCATGGTTTCCTTCTGATTCTTAAACAGAGGTGTTGGGTTTCAGTGACTTTTAAAATAACACTTTTTGAAAAGTTCATACAAATTTAGTGAGAGAAAAATCAACAAGAAAATGGCAGTGGGCGAAATATGCATAACTCAGTTTATAAAATCTAAACATTAAACACGTAACAAAAACATTACTTACACCCTTTTGAAGTTTAGATGATAATGATGAAAGTGACCTGCCTTGCAAACCTAATATCAGCCTGTAGTTGACAGGAACAAACAAAAAAATCTCCCAAAGAATGTACAAATTCCCACTCTATTAAAAAGTGCGAGAGCGCACTCCACAACACATAGTCCACCCTGTGCACACCTGGGGCTATCAAAGCTGCAACCGGCACTGATGACCGCAAAGCAGTCGCGGATGCGGTGTTATGGCTTTTTCAGACAACCAAGTGGGAATGATGCGTTAAGACAGCCAAAAGCCAGGGGAGGGCGCCTTTTTTTTCTCCAACGTTCAGCTCCGACGAATTCCGAGCATAAAGCGTACATTGCAGCGATGAGATGTTCACTTCGCAGGATCACGCGGTCGTTGATCGACGTCTGCAGCAATTCATGAATTTGGGGGTGCCGCATTTAATATGGCAGCAGGCGTCACTGGTGGACGGCAAGAGGCAGGAGGCTCACCTCGGCGAAAAAGACGTCAGTGTGCCAAATGCGGGGGCATGCCCCCATGCCTGTTTTCATTTTGCTGACCCCTGCAACATTGTTCGGAGGAGCAGGCCCATCGTCACGTGCCGGTATTACCGTGGAAAAGCTTCTTTAGCACGAGTGCCCAGTTGAAAGGAAGCATGGGCCTACTTACAAAACGATCTGCTCGCAGCTCAGTGAAGCTACCCTGCACGATAAAAAAAAAAGATGACCACAAAAATCAAGACACAGGACGAAATTTAAGAATTTGTAAAATAAACAAGAGAGGAAGGAGAAGGGAAGACGTACTGTAGTGCAGGAGGGCTGGCACTGTTAGGCCATTGGGCCAGCAGGCTACGAGCTATACTCCCCCTCCTTCTTTCCTCAAGCACGGCCGCGAGGCCCGCACTCGACATTCAGCCGGCAAAGAACCGCCCTCGATGCAGCGGCCGGGAGCGGAGGGGGCCGTGCGGGCCAGCGGCGCTCACGTCCAGTTGAAGGTGTAGCCGCGCGACAGCATGATGGCCTCGATGTCACGGTCCTCCTCGCGCTCGCGTAGTCGTTGCTCCTCCAGCAGCGCCACGAGCGAGTCGCGCTGCTCCACCACGTCCAGCATCTCGCTCAGGATCCGCTTCTCCTCCGACAGCTCCGCCTCGCTCTTCTGCGCGTCTGCTCGCAAGCCCGCGCCGGCGGCGGGGTCAGGGAGCGAAAAGCGGAAGCGTCAGGGATGCGGTCGCCCGCGATGCACGTGCGTGGCCCTGTTGCCAATCCACCGCGGGAAGAGGGTCCCCGCCCGCGATGTGCGGCCATGGTGAATTGTTTGACTGAACTTCGCCACCGTCGGTCCACGAGGATTTGTGGAGGCGAGGAGTACAGACGTGGAAGAAGTGTACAGCACAATAATAATATATTTTTATGCTGCCCACGACATAGCTCCATAGCAGCCTGAGGCAAGGGTTGGTGGATCTTTGCTGATCTTTGAGAGATAACCAGCCGTATGTGTGGCTTTTCTCCGAGTAATCTGGTTTCCCCACATAAAACAAGACACCCATTTAAAATATAAACCGCCAAACAATTCAATGCAGGACCCTCCTAAAAACGCCCGATACTCGGTGAATCTGCAAGACATTGTACAAGTTATCAAATGGGGGTCCAGACCCTTTGGACCGCAAGCATCATTCGGGTTCTGCAAATCCACATTCATAAATATAGAAACCCTGCTCAGCAAAGAGCTTCTGTGAAAGTTTGATTGCAGCTGTAAAAATGTCTTCAGACAAAAACAATATTCAAAACCATGGAGCCACTGTGGACTAGCCATGACTACTGAAATTGCAAATGTTTAAGTTAATCTCCAAAGAATTTACTTATACATTTCTAGCCCCAGTCCTGAACTATGAAGGTTCGCATTCGGTTTGTGGAGGGGTCAGAAGGATGGAGGAGGGGGACTTGTGTGTGGAGGGATGTAGTGGGGACGAGTGGTGTCAGTACCATCGACAGCCATCCGTTCACGCAGGTCCTGCTGCAAGCGACTTTGTCGATCCTCAAGCTCCAGCTCTCGGGCACTGTAATGCAACCATGCGTGCACACAGAATTAGAGAATCAGAATATGTATTTATACTGGAGGGATCCGATGAGCTATACAGCTCCTTTTCACAGATGTCCAGTAAAACACACAAAACACCACACACACAAACTCCACTCCCTTCAACATAGTTTGACTGGAGAACACCAACCTACTGTGACATGAGAAAGCTGTAGGTAGTACCACACTCAATGCCTTTGTCCTCCAAGGATATTTGTACTCTGATACTACATGCCAGTTGATTAATTATATATATTAGATGGCCCTTCAGAAATTCACTGGTGGATGGAAGCCTGACCACACCATGTAGGTCTTGGTAGTTCTGTTACCATATTTGACTGTGCTGATTAATGCTGTTGAGTGCTGTTGAGTGCAGGCGGGGGGGAATAACTGGGAAAGGTTTAGATATCACTCGCCACTTATCTTCTTATGAGCGACTGGAAATGTAAAGCATAGTGTGGCAACTACTGTGCTACCGCTCCACCAGATGAACACATTAACCAGTTACAATAATTAAGATCCAAGCCATACATTCGTATTGGCAATGAGCTGCCAACTGACAGTCAATTTCACACCCAAGAAAATCAAAGTTATGCCACGGACCACTATACCATCAGAAACATGTATGGCTACAGATATATACGTGGCCACTCACAAGATCATGAGCTCGGACTCGTAGCGAACCATGGCGTTCTTCTCCTGCACCAGCTTGAACCACTCCTGCATGAGGCGCGGGTCGTCTTTCTTCCCGAGTCCTGCGACACACAGCAGAGTGCACGCGGTCAGCGGCCGGACAGCCGTGGCCACAGCGCGCCAAACCGGACCACGCTTCACCGCTGGGAGAGCCACCCTGCCTCCATCCTCTCTCACTGTGCTCGGTGATCACTTTCCTCCTCGCCAAAATGGGAATTAAATATTAACCACTCCCACCCGACCCCCCCCAATTCATCTGAACAAGTGCAATGGTTATTTAAATGTAAAATTTCCAGGGATGGCATTCTCTATTGAAGTGCACTGTACCAATTTGCTTTGGGGTAAAGTAACTCAAAGTGGAGTGGAATGTGAGCAAAGTGTAAATGTTCTCAACAGGTATGATTCCAAGCGCTACCATTTTTCAAATTATTAAAACTATTATTGGAATCACACCTCTGAGTGTTGGAACAAAACACACATTTCCTCAGTTCATATTCGTCTCAATGTTATGAGTCACTCCCTTTCCTTCCCTTACCCTTAGGGGCCTGATGATCCAATCCCGTGATCTGTCACCATTCCTGGTGGTGCAGAGATTGGAAGGTGCTCATGCTCTATAGCTGCGCAAGGTGAGAGTCAATCCAGCGTCAAGACCCTGGCGGTGAAGGAAGTCCGGTTTGAACATCGCATGAAGAGTTTAAACGCACGCTCCTGGCATGCAGGCAAACATGCATGAATGAAATGCACAGCCCATGCAACCTGTACCTTGGATCAAACATCGCATCACTACTCATCCTGGTGGCACATGGAATGCAAATGACGTCACAGTGGAACCCACTTGGCAATCGAGACCGGTCGGTATCACCACAGACCAGGACACGATGTGGTGTAAAAATACTCAAAGCACAAGCAACTGGATATGGTGGGCAATGATGCTCATCTGGATTGCAACGTGTGCTTTTCAGCACCCAAATTGTATCATCTTATTTTATGAATCATTAAACACGAGTGTTGCTTTCAGCATACTGCTTTTCCAAATTGCAGTATTTATCGCTTAGATTTTTATTTTACAACTTTAAAACTTAGGGGGGGGGGGGGGTGGGGGCGGGGCAGCGAGGGGGAGTGTATTTGGACTGACATTGTCTGCAGCCAGCTGAGTCGCCCTTAAAAGAAAGCTTCTTAGAGCTCAAATGAACTTTACTCCGTGGGAAATGTGCTCCCGATTCTGCCGCTTCAATTTGCTCGAGCAGAGAGAGAGCAGTGCCCCACCCTGGATCCAACCACCCCTCCAAGCTGTGTGCATTCTCGGCAACAGTGGCCATCATGTCGTGTGCAAGCGGGCTCCACTGCGCAAAACGCATGCCGACGTGACAAGCAGCGATGTGTTCTGTACACAAAATGAATGAGAGTCACATGTTGCAGGTAATTTATAATGCCTGCTGTGGAAGGGTTTTAGAACGATTGTTAAGAAGTGATTGGTAAATGATTGCATGAAATCATCCCGAACATGGGTTACGCCACCACTTGAAATGCTCTGCGTTGTTTGCTTGTACATATATGAAATAATACTTTAAATAGGTTATGACAACTTGATATTGCTATAGCTTGTGATGCATTTAAGTCTTTTTTTTACTTCAAATTCCTGGTGCGATGTTTGTTATCAAAAGTAAGATAAGTTATTTTATAAAACAAGCAAACACGCAAATAAGACAAATTGTTACCCCCCCCCCCCCCCCCCCCCCCCACAACATTTCACATGACCTTATGATGATACAAAGAAAAATTACGGATAACGGCAACTGTCCAAATATAGACATTACTGTAGTGGACAGAAGTATAACAATTACCGTATTCTCCGGGACTATGGCGTGGCGTCTTCCTATATTTAGAACAAAGGTTTGGGGTGCACCTTGTAATCCAGTCGACGTGTGTGCACATGCGACCAGATGTATTTAACATTAACACCCACTGCAAAGTTTGGGGGGAGTGCGTCTTACTTTCTGCAGTGTCTATATAATCCGGAGAATATGGATAGAGGAATCGCAATTTTTATCATATATGGCTCTGTGAGAGTAACAGGTCCTCTTGTTACAAAACACCTGTAAGTGAAGGATTTAAAAAAAAATGTGAACACTCCTTTTAACCCGAGTCTACCCCTTATCTGTAGATGTGATGGTTTCTAGTGCGAGTTACACGGGACTATATGACCTATGCTCAAAGGGGAACAAGACAGGATCAAAGGCTCCACAGAAGCAGTCGCGCCGACTGCATTAGCAATGACCACGTGCGCCCTTCGCATGAAATGTTTACACAATGCAACGAGAGCTGCTGAGAGCAGAGGTCTTCAGAACCGGCGACTGATGACGGCTCAACAAGCAGATTAGCATGGTACAAGCGTGTTTAACGTTCGCAAATCAGATTCGCATGAAAAAGGGAAATGTGTGGAAGGCACCACTTTGGTACTGCTTAACATTTTGCATTTAAAATGCAAAAATGTGGCGGCACAAAGATTTGATTGCAGAGATGTAGCAGAAGCAATTATGAACTGTGTCAATAACTTTTCATGATCGCATTATTGTAATGATATTTATAGTAAACAGGAATGACTTCCACGGACTTCCATCCGAGACGAGACTCAGCATGAGGCAATTCTTAAGTGAGATAGACAGAAGCACGTTTTAAATAGCAGACACACAGTACTCGAGAAAAGGATGCAAAAACAATACAGTAGTATTAAAATACACTCCAACGGAAAATACACATGCTGTTAAATGATGAATATTTTTTTAAACGTTCCATGGGCATGATACACATGGGTGGCAGACAAGTCTTCAGATGGGGGTTTAGAGACAACGCGAGCACATTGCCATCAGCATTCTGGATGGTAAAAATTTAGACGCTCACATGCGGCGGTTAAAATACAGGGCAGACCATTGCAGCCAGTCTTGACCCGAAATCAATGGTTAAACCAAGGCCTTGGGAAGGACGTGAAGGCTGTACCGGTGGATGTGTCGTTAGGAAGCGGCACAGAAAAAAACTAAAAGGCCGAAAAAATTAAACAACTGAAACCCCTTTACTCAAGACAATTTGCGAGATCACAATTTACGGCCCTTAATAAATACTGTTCAATGGAGGCCTCCCTACGGTGTGTTAGCATTGTGGGTTGTTTAACCATACTTCACCATCAATGCGGGTTTGTGAAGGGGCCTGGACTAGTTCAGATACTCACCACTGACACTAGCCATAGGTGGGTTTTGGACTCAGGTTGCCATATTCACAGCGCTATGCACGAGAACTTCAACATACATCATACATACCACTGTCCCCCCACACCCTACCCTGAATTAGTGAGACGCCTGAGAAATATTTTACTAGATGTTTTTTAGGTTTGTGAAGGAAATGTCAAATTATAGGAGTTAATGCCCTCCAGCAAATCATAACAAATTTGTCTCTGCACTGGAAGAACCAGTGTTATGTAAATTATGAGTTTTTTTTTAAAAAGGATTGTAGTTAATGCTACATGATGTGAATCATCAAGCCACAGGGAAAGAATTAAGGCATGTTGAGGATATTTTTTACAAAACACTGCTTTACAGTTAGAGTTGTCTTGTAGGATTTATTCAAGTACCAATTTCTGATCTTTTATATGTGGTAATGTGACTTGAGGCTTACAAGAAGAAGATTTCAATTTGTTAATGGGCAAATATTCATACGGCGTGTCGTGTTCTCTCATGCCTACCTATCCCGTCGGCTTCAGATTTGAACCAAGAAGCTCAAAAACAAGCAAAAGACACCTTTCCTCGAACAAAGTGGCAACTAAAAAATGTAAAACCTCTCTCCGCCGCTCTGGGTGTGGGACCTAACCCCCGCCCCCCACCCCGGAAAGAGCACCTTGGGGCTGAAGGCCCACTGCCTGCGCCGTCAGCAAGATACTTTACCTCCTCGTTTCGGAGAACAGCAAGGACAGAAGGAAAGAGCGCGCCGTTGTGGGGGTCCAGCTATTGACTCGACTTGAGGAGCAGAGGACACAGAGAGCAGGAGAGTGGTCGAGGCGTGTGGGGGGGTCGGGGAGGTGGTGGGAGCCGTGTGTAAGGAGGTAGTGGGGGGGGGGCAAGGGGTGGCACGGGCAGGGGAGAAGGACAGCGGGGGGGGGGGGGGGGATAGGAGGTCCGGAGGGGTGGTGGGCAAGGTGGAGGCGTGAGCAGAGGGCAAGCCATGGTGGCTCAAGAGCAATGACGGCTGCGGGGTGCGGGCAATCAATGCCAACAGGAAGGTACAGGTGACAGCCACATGAAGAATGTGACCAACGCAAAATTGATTGAATTTTTTGTAAAATTCGTACAAAAAACAGGCGAGGAAATGAAGTGAGAAATAAATTTACGTAATAAGAAATTAGGTGGAGAAAAAAACCACACGCAAGTAAATTTATGGGTGCAGTGGCAGTGCTTCTGAATCGTAGGGACCTCAAGCTAAAACAGTGGATCCCAGCGAATGATTCAGCTCTGGTGTAGATGGGCTTAAGCATGCGCCGGCATGAAGCCCACAGCCACGAAGCTTAGAGACCCCACAAGGAATGCTACTGCTGCACGCTTACTGCACACCGGGTGCACGGGGCCACTTGTGTCCGAGGCAACCGCATAGAACTCGAGGCTCGGAGAGTGAGTTTAAGATCAGTGCAGTGCGATTAACACGGAAAGACTTTCGTCTGGCGTTTTCCTTTCTTTTTGCATCTTAATTTATTTCATATTCTGTTATGCAGTCACGCAGGGAAGGAAATGATAACAACATATATAAATAGACACGCACTCATACACACTCGTATAAATATACATACACACCACACTATGTACATACATGTAGTATGTATGCATATGTAGTGACCGGACATTTTGGAGAGACAAAAAAATTCTCAACAAACGTAATGACACGAAACAAAAACAACATTAAGAGAGCAGTTTGGATTCCACCAAATATGTAACCGTTATAAACAGGTAAGTTTACGAAAACTTAATTCATCTCAATCAGCGCATAACCAAGATTTTTGAAGTTTTCATTGTGATAAGCTAATGCGACGTCATAACCAATGTACTAAACCATCGCACAAACTCCGTCTCATCCCTGCACCGGCTTTTGGCTAACCATCGAACAAAGACGGTCACTGCATCGCGCGCTTTCAGATGCACTTCTGCGGCCGTCTGAAACACTTTTCCTTCTGACATTAGGAAGACATTGTAGCCATGCACTTTGAAATCTAGATTGAAAAAATAATTTCTTTATAACTGCCTTTTGTGTTCAGTTTGTTGTCCTTCCCCCGCACCTCCGATTAGCACGGTTGGCCACGTATGGTGGGAAAGAAGTTGAACATACATTTTTGATTTAAAGCTTTCGTGACTGCAGGGCTTCTACGTGACTTTACCGAAAGGACCAAGAATATAAGTTGAACATACATACATACCAGACTGACTAGTGGTCGTTAAAGAGCTTTTACATTGTAACCATACGCCATTTTTGTTCACGTTGATGCGAATCAAAGCGAACCGCTTAACGCTTCTGGGGCTACGCTGTTGGAGAAATCAACGGAGGCACCTCGAATGGGGAAGAGGCGCCACCACTCTACTGCTGATGGCAGCACGAAGCAAATTCCACGCACGACGCAATTGGCTACAGAACCAGGCGCCACGCGAGGTGAGTGGCGGCGATCGCGTATGACACGACCAACTGAGTAGCCGCTCCGCGGCCTGCGTTGAAATGTGTTTAGGTGAGCGAGGCTCAAGTTGATAATCGACAACCTGGCCTTATTTTGTATTCGGTGGCGATGAATGTCAAGAAAAATTACCATTTGTCCATTTTTCCGTGGTTGACATTTGAAATAATGAGCATATTTAATCAAAACTAAACACTTAGAAGTAATCCACAACTACATGAAGCATATTCAGGGTCTTTTAAAATTAGGGTAATTACAATATGACTGTAATCATGCTTTTTCAGGAATTTTTTTTTCGTAAAAAATTGTGTGACAGAACACATTCAGGACATTGAAAATGGGTGTCTTCAATTCCAATTATGCATATATCTATTGACAAAACAAGTTGCCAAAAAGGAAAAATTACTGACTGGTAATTAAAATGACACAATTCGATGATGGTGTTTTACTAACAGTACAGACATGCAAAGTGCCATCCTTGAGAATGTCTGACAAGCTGTGACAATCCTGAAATGTGAAGCAGTCATCATTGCAGTTACCCGAAATTATAACGACCCCCACTTTTCAGTACAGAAAAAAATTCATAGAAAAGTGGAGAGGACAATGTGTGAGAGCAAAAAAAACATCCAGACAGTGGCAGTGATTGCATAAATGCTGATAGGAATTTCCATTTGCTTTACATGCATTGCTTGATTATTATTTTTATGCAACTGATGAGAAAGGCAACAAAGTGGGGTAACCCACTTGAAAACAACTGGACTACAACTGCGGTTACGTCCAGTTTAAGGGAATGCGATGCAAGTTAAACACAGACATAAGCGCAGTCTTTTCCAGATGCTTTTCATTAGATTAAACATGCAAGCCTCTAACCAGACTGATGTGGCAATGAGGTGAATGCTTATAATGCAGAACTCAAAAATGAATCCCTTATACATTAAATGAAATGTTATTAAATGCGCAAGGCCCATTCAGTCGAGGGATTGAAAAACTCAGTCTAGTTCATGCCCCATTATCACCACCTTCAGACAGTGTGAGACTTGCAGTCACCATCAACCCAATAATGGATTTAATCAAAGACACTTTGTTCATACTAGAGGCTATTATTTAACTTATGCGCAATACATTGCCAGAAATATTTGTTTACAAACATTGATCACCGATTGCACAAATGTGCAACTAGTGACATTTTGAACATTCCAATAGTTAACGTATTGCAATTTGTCGACGACTTTTCTGATTGAACTGAACGACGAAGAGCAATACGAGTTATAATTACAGGAGATGCTGCCGGTATTTTGAACGGCCGTCTTGGCTTTGTTGTAACACTTTTAAGCCTCCAGTGGGTGAGGAAGTGGCTTCGTTGCAACATCCATTAGATTAATGGTGATAAGATTAAAGTGGGTTCATTAAATGCTACATCTACAAAATCGCCCGCAACTAAACTGACACACAAGGCTCACCAGAAAAGAAAAACAAGCCAAATCACCACTTTGAACAGGACAGAGTGTCTATCACACGGACAGAAAGCAGCCTTAACAGCATACATACCAACCAGCTGTAATCCGTAGATATCTACAGTGTTACTAGTGTCTCCCCAGTAGTCTACAGGAGGGAGCAGAGAGAGAGTTAGTGATGCTGCATTACACAGTGCACTCCCAATGCAATGACCGAGGTCTCGACCAGGCAAACACAAAGCACAAGCAGAGGCCGCAGGAGGCGTGAAGCTGCAGACATACGACGTGAGTTAGCACTTGGCGAACGCAACGCAACGCCGCCATTTGACAACCAGCAAGAGAAGAGAAGCATAGACAAAATGCGAGAGGGGCCAGGCATTATTCCACAGTGTTTAAAAAACATGATTTAGTAAATAAGAAAATAGTCTATATCGATTGGCTCGGCGTCAACGTATGAGAAAAAAAAACAGAAATCGTAAACAATCAGAAAGTTTGTAATCATGCACTACACTAAACAAAAAAGTTCACCGCTTTACCTTTGAGGCAAAGAAAGCTGCATGGTAACAGCCAATGAAATGATAATTGTATTCATTTTTTTAAAATATCGGAAATTGTGTTTTTATCAACAGCATCTGGTGTGTGGCATGTGAGGAAGTGCGGCGATCCATCACTCCGCATCAGATGAAACAACCGGGAAACGCTCCATGCAATGTGGCAGGAGGCACAGAAGACAGAGCACAGAAAGGCAGGGGCCCAAGTCAATGAATTTGGATGCACCATCAAACTGCCAATCAATAGGCTACGCGATAGCTTTCTTTAAGTATGATTACATAACGTGTACGCATTATGTGCCTGCACTCGGTGGGGGAGAGAGAGAAAAAATGCCATTTTGAGATCTGGGGAAAAACACAAAGCAGTCCGTGCATCAGACTGCATTGGAAGAAGACCAATTCTTGCCCTCGTTTAGCAGAGGGCAGATTGCATTTGCAAATTAACTGGGTAACGTGCATTAAACACGCCAATTGATCTCGGGTAAAATAGATTGCGTGCGGCCTTCAAGGCTGCAGTTGGCTCTGCCTATTGTGGTTAAACACCGAGGGAATTAGCGACAAGGGTGGCCAACTTAAACAGGAACGACTGTCGATGTGTATTCTGATATTACGCGTGATGGGACAACAGCCGTTTTGTTATCAGCGGACGTCTGATACGCACGTGGGTACATTGGCTTTCCAACAGAGAGCAGGCACATAGTTATTGTTACTGAGTATACGAGTATATGTGTAGATTTTACAATCTATTTAGTGCAAAAACAGTCTCATTCCGTCAATATTGTACATACAGTAGTTGCACGATTTTTAATTGATTTTAGGATTGATCTGTATGCATTATCGTCCTACACCGATCAACCCCATTTGGCTCATGCAGAAAGTTAGGCCTGTCTGTTAGTCACTGAGAGGACCTGCAAGTTTGAGTGTGGACGGAAGAAAGAAATCACAGTTTCTTGAACAACGAACAAAATGCACACAAGAGAGAATGGCTGATTGACGATGGACTATAATCAGAAGTGTTTTACAAAGCAAAATAAGTGGACACCAACATCAAGTATGAGGGGCAGTGAAAAGTTTTGAGACTGGATGATAAAAAAATCAAGCAGCTTTACATGTTTTACACTGTCAAGCATATTTAGTCTATGACACCTGAGCAGGGCACAGAGATGTGTTTTTTAATATAGTAAAAGCCCCAAAAATGCAGGTGGGAGACGTGAATAACACGGGTATGATAGGCTACCCGCTTTATAATGGAAAATGCATCCATGTCTCTGTGTCCCCGTGTCTGTATGTGTCTCCATGTCTGTATGTGTGCCTCCGTGCCTAGTTGTGCGGAGTGGTAGCGTAGCAGTTAACGTACTGCATTTGAATCCGGCGACCCGAGATCAATTCCCGCTCAAGGCCAACACCAGTGACAATTATCTGAACCGGTCCTGGGCCTCCCCTAGGTCGACTCAGCCTTAAATGAATACTTGGTGTGTGTGTAAAAATCATAACTATGGAAGACAAAGGTGGCAGGGCATGGTGTTGGACACCCACCCCCTCGTGTGTTGTGTAGGCCTTCATAGGTGCTCGCTAACAGCACTTGCCCTAAAAGTCTGTTAAAGGCAATATGGGAGATCTTTGTCTTTTTGTGTGTCTATTTTGCCCAACTACGCATGTGCTACAAATAGAGAGGGGAGGGCAGGTGGTGTAGGGTTGGGCTATGGATCAGCCAATTAACGAGTTATATATGTTTTTTTCGGGGGACATGAGTTGACCCACAGTATATATATCCGAATCTATGGTGTCATGAGCCGTGTTATATCAGGCTTCTACTGTAATGCGAAATTCGGTTGGTGAGAATTATTTTTAAAAGGAACTAGCTCTCAAAGGATTTCAAATGCCCCGAGTGTCCTTTACACTTTATATATTTACACAGTTCAAGGCCATGACTATAACAGTGTATATCTTACAATTGAAGCAAGTAAACACATTTACTGCACCAAATACTTTACAACATGAAGAAGCATTGAGCACAATTGTCGAGATCACTTGGCTTCAAAATAATTAACATCAGGCAAACAATTAGGCAATCATATGGCATAGTTCAGATCAGTGCATGAGGGCATACAGTGCTACTTGTACATTCTCTTAGATTCAGTTAAAAGTAGCGTGAGTCTGTTCAACATCACAGCCTCAACAAGAGATGAGCGATACTCTCGGGCGTCAATGTAATTGCTGGAAACCAATTTAAAGATACAAATTCCAAATGCAAATGAAGGGGTTTATACTGGCAGTGAGATACAAACACGGGCCAATAAACAGTCTGCATTCATATTGACTAAAAACAGAAAAAACAGAAACATTAGCTCATGTTTTTCCTTTTATAAGTCAGTGTGAATGATGGTGATGGTGAGGCGTTTTTCAGCCCGAGTAAAATATCCATCTCCCGTATCAATTTTGCAATGCTCACGCACTTGAAGCCGTTTCAGAATTATCATTTTATCCTTGCCAGAGAGCCCTGGCTGTGGCAGGATCAATGTACACGATCAAATCGCTTTTCTAAGACACAAACTTTGGTTTCCACGGTTCCGTTTCCAGCAATCTCTGGCCATCTTGCCCCCCCCCCCTAGACGCGGCAACGGGGCATCGGTAAACGCACGACGCCCGGCGGAGCGTCACACGAGCGTGGACAATTCGCCGGCTGGAGCGACGAGGGTGGCGGCGGTGGGCAGCTCCGGCGAGTGCCTACCTGCCTCCCCACGCAGGGCCTTCTCCACGGCCACGCCGCGCTCCTCCAGGGCTCGCTGTTTCTCCTCCACCTCCTCCAGCTGCCGCTGGATGATCTGCAGCAGACACACGACACGGCCGGCTGAATCACAATCTGTATCTATACTGGAGGAATCGGATGAGCTATAAAAAGCAAGCACTTTTTCACAGATGTCCAGTCAGGGGGCGGGTCACAACGTTACAACAACATACAACACAAAAACACGATAGGAGTGTAAAGTATAGGAAAGGTAAGCAAATCACTAAAATCACGGAAAATTGATTTATAGAGGCAATAGTGCTGTTATTTTAACAACGTTGTACTCACCGCAAAGAACTGTAGCGACACGACCACATTTTATAACAGATGGCGCCAAACTGCATGACACACCCTTCCGCATGGATTCGTGTGAGTCTCGGTACCGATAAAGTTATTTTATTTTCGTTTTTCTTCCGGTTCCATTGTGGAACGGAATCGTAAGAAAAACTGATGTCGTACATGTACGTCATCGGAATGGGAAAGGGTAAAAAAAAAAAGTGCTCACAGACTCTACATAAATCACGAACTGTGCCGTGCTGTGCCGTGTGCGGCGGATGTGGCGCGGCGAGCACCTGTGCACGGTGCAGCCGTTTGAGTTCCTCCTGCTTGGCCTGCTTGCGCGCGGCACGCTGCACCCTGCGCGTCAGCTTCTCATTCAGCTCCTCCTCCGTGTACGGCTTCTGGGGTCACACACAACGACCGGTGAAGGCAGGCACGGTGCAGAGAATGGCTCGGCGAGCCATCCACTTCACGTTTGTCATATCCGGGTATAAAACGGGTTGCACTCGGCACACTACCGATTTCAAAACGTATTCTTCTTTGGGCAATGAGTTTTATTTACTTGGTGCAAACGTAATTTCATGACGTAGGCTTTTGCGATCAATATAATCCATAATACAGGTTTTTTGGGTTAGATTGTGAAATGGTGTGGGTTTACTCTCCAACACATCAGTGTGCTGAACTAGTAACGAAGTGGCATGTTTTGTTTACGTGACAAACCTTACTAATTGGTTGTGTCGGGTGGTGGCGGGTTTAACGACACATTTATATATTTACGCGATAGAACCCAAAAAAAAAACTCTATTATGGACGTAATTAAATGGATCCTACATTACGTTTATATATAGGATGGACAAGAAGTCCCTATATCTCTTTATGCCTACGGGTCCAGCAGAACTTTTAAGACATGAGTATTGGGATTTCCCACCCTCGTCTTTTCCAGCTTCGTAGGAAATACAAATACAATGGACAGAGTGCAGACTCGGCAGCTACTGCACTGCCCTGTGAACTTGGTGACGTGAGTTCAATTACCAAGTGAAATCCGAGCCAGTTCTGGGGATCCTCCCTTGACCCAAGGGTCTGGAATGCTGTCGCAATGAAACTCCAACTTGGATCACTTCCTATAATATAGTCACTTAAAACTGCTCTAGAGGAGTCGTACAACCCTAGCTGCCACTGCTATCCAGTGGCCTGAAATCAAATACAGTAAAACCTTGAATTGCGAGCATAACTCGTTCCGGAAACGTGTTTGTAATCCAAAGCACTCGTATATCAAAGCACTCGTATATCAGTTGTGATCACGTGACGCTCGGCAGACAAAGCGTATACGTGCTACTCGTATTGGAAGACCTCGCTCGTTTATCAAATTAATATTTATTTAAAAATTTTGCTCGTCTTGCAAAACACTCGCAGACCAAGTTACTCACAACCCAAGGTTTTACTGTATATCACTACGGATGACCTATGCAAGAAATTATCATGTATGTTTATTATAGTGTGCTGCTACCACTATTGATACTCCTGTTATTATGGATTGACTCATGCAGCTAAGGATGCTAGGTTTAGTAATATATGTTACGTATGTCGCTATTGCTAACTTTCAATCACAATGATCACTTACGTTGTTTTATAGCATTATTTTAGTGATTTCTAAAAAGGTTTAGTTTAGCCATATTTGTATGTTGCAGTTTAGAGTTATGGTTAGAATTTCGATCTAAATTGTATTGTGATTGTTATTGTGATCGAACATCAAACTGGGATTTTTGCACATTTTTTTGTACGCAGCATAAACACATGGTGCTTTTTCTGGAATATTTAATTGTTTTTATAGGGGATGTTTCAATTTGCATGCAGTAAATTTTAAATGTATCTTGTAATTGTATTGTTTGGTGGGGTTGCACCAGAATCAAGAGCCGAATGGCTCACAGGGTAAAACCAAATAAATGAAACTGAAAATCAACCTGTACTAACCATTATGGTGAAGTATGGTCAAACAACCTACATTAGTGACATGGTATGGCGTGCCCCTCACTCAGCAGTGGCTTGACAAAGGGCTGTACACTATTTGTTATATTGTCCGTAATCAAAAATAACAACTAAACGTGCATGACCGAAAGCAATAAGAAGCACTGCTATGCAATCGTGTGTGACTGTACTTTGCATGTCAGTGTTAACTTTGTCTATTTATTGCGTCTTTTACACTGGACGGGAAAGGTATTTTAAAATTGAATGCAGAGGTCGCCCTCTGCTGGACTCCTACAAGAAGCCTCCCTTGAGCGGAGAGCGAGAGACATCCGGATCAAAATGAAGCATTCAAATATTTTAAACCATCCTCAGAAATCAAACGTTGTGTTTCAGAGATCCTGGTTGATTCATCGCGCTTGCTTATTAATGACATTATCCCTCCCAAAAATCGCACGTGATGTTGTTTTGTAAATACATGGCAAATAGCGGTGCTAATCACAAAATTGAAACCGACGTTAAAAGTGACTCGCACATTATTCCGTCAATTAACTTTGCACACATCTTCCCCCACTCACCGGCACACATTTTAAAACACATCTAAAGCTGAAACACTAAACCTACGTTGATTCATAAGCTGAGGACAGCCATCCCAATTACCGGCAGAACAAATATAAAATTTCCTCTCATGAAGCGATAGCCAACTGCACATAATAGGATATAACGATAATATAGAACGTGTCTGTTATACGTGATATACTCTGTATCAATAGGAATTCCCAAAATCTTATTTTATTTAACGTTAAATTTTGATTTAAAGCTTTCGTGACTGCACGGATTCATATTCTTGGTTCTTTCGGTAAAGTCACGTAGAAGGGAAACAATAAAATAATAAAAATATATAAAACAATAAATTTGGTTCTTTCGGTAAAGTCACGTAGAAGGGAAACAATAAAATAATAAAAATATATAAAACAATAAATTTTTATTGTTTTATATAAAACAATAAATTTTTATTGTTTTATATATTTTATTTTATTGTTTCCCTTCTACGTGACTTTACTGAAAGAACCAAGAATGTTAAATTTTTCCGTCGTGAATAGATCTGACATAAATCAATCGATGACAGGACATGAACATTACACTGTTAGAGATGTCCTCTACAGCATTGGGAGGGCTGTCATCATGTGTGGCACCTGCGGAGATCACGCAGTTTAAGAGCAAACCTACAGAATGCAATCGTGAACACACGCGACAGAACGACATGAGAAGCAGTGACCACAACTGGCATTAGGCAACAGGCAGTGAAGCACAAACTTGGCGGGAGGGCGTGCTTTAGTACTACCTTGAGCACAAACGAGCTCTTGAAGGCCAAGGCATGCGGAACATAAGTGAACTTCAAACACAAGGAACGAGAGAGGTCAGTAAATAAACGGAGGCGGTGAACGGGAGGGGAAACCATGGAAGCAATGGATGGACACGCATCTGGTAAAATTAGTGTGTCAGTGCAGATTGCACCATCAGTAATAACACCAGAATAAGTGAGTTAATAAGTGTTCTTAAGCGATTTCTTTCATGAATAGATCCGACATGAATCACTTCACTGGCTAGAAGGGAACACGAACATTATATTGTGTAGCAATTCACTCATTATGTGTGTACTTTTATTGTGAAATGGTCAAACAAGTTTGGTGTGATTTTTAATTTAAATGCATAATCAACTTCCAGAACTCCAATAAAAATATAACAATGCAAGTTCAATTATGGAAATATTCTAATGGTTATGTCTGCATGCTATAACAAAGCCACAAAGAAGGAGAAAAAAAACCGAAATGCAATCGTGTTTTGTTGACATTGCTCGTTTCACAGGAGGTGGCCTGGATAGCGAACAGATCCGTCTCCAACAGTCCTACCTGTAACTGCCCTTCTCTTAGCAGGGGCTGAACGCGGTCAAAAATATCGCGGGTCTGTGCATGCCATGGGTCGTGGGTGAACACAGGGGTGCAATGTTAGATGGGCGATGGATACCGCACAAAGCCAGCATGAGGTGGTGTTGCAGAAGAACCATGATTGTAGGAATAGCCACTCACTAATTGCGTTTTCTATGGATACTCTGAACCCTGTCCTAAAAATGTTCAATTAATACGAATGGGTGACAGATATAACAGCTGATAACAAAATGCACTACCACATAATGATTTGAGATTTGAAGTGGGAAAATAGACTATCCAATTGCTTTGTAAAATTATTATTAATCAACACTGTTACAACATATATTTGTTTCTACCCAAATGCCTACGGCTTTGTCCAGAAGATGGTCCTCTTTGTTTCAAGTTAAAACTTGTAGCAGGTCATTTCTTTGATTTTTGCTTTTATTATTTTCTCTTTATTAATATTTAAAAAAAATATTTTATTACTTTCTATCTACGTGACTTTACCGAAGGAACCAAGAATAATCTTGATTTGAAGCTTTCGTGACTGCAGGAATCCACCTGAAGACGGTCGCTTGCGTTGCCATCAAAACGGCGTGATCTATTATTTTTTTTTATTTAAAGCTTTCATGACGACAGGGATTCATATTCTTGGTTCTTTCGGTAAAGTCACGAAGGGAAACAAAGTAATAAAAATATAAAACAATAAATTTCATTATTTTATTGTTTCCCTTCTACGTGACTTTACCGAAAGAACCAAGAATATCTATTATTTTGTCGACCTACGTGACTTGACCGAAAGAACCAAGAATAGCTCATTATTTGTTCAAAGAACACTGCCACAAAAGGCCCATTCATTGCAAAACTTGCCGTCTTATTTGTAATGCTTACAATAAAGAGAACAGCATTAACGTCTGTTATATTGGACAGTGCACGTTTTGATTAGGTGTCAGATTGTTTCAGAGTTTTGCCCCATGATATGCGTGGATTTTCTCCAGGTTCCTCCCACGTATAAACACTCACTAATCGTCTGATACCTCCCTCATCTATATGCACCGCAGTGTTCGCGGATAGTGCACTATTGTAAGACGAACTTTGCATGAATGATGATGCTACAGTATAAATACTATATAATTACTATTAAATTATATTTGCATCATTCCCTGAGCCTACACCTTATAATCATGGTGCTAGTGCACTTTTAAAAGGTGACCGAGAGAAGACAGTTTTAAGGTAACCATTACTCAACCCAATTTATGTGGCTTGCCGTGCACGGATGGCCAATTTCTTCCAATGTAGTTCCACTTAGAATATTCCCACAAAGTAACTTAATTATCTGTACGACTTGAATACAGATTGCAGAAAACGTTTAATGTGCCCCAGCCACGTTAAATAAAATTCGTGCACACGGCAATGCGATTGTCTATGAAGCAGCCACACTGAAGTCAGGAGACACGGCCAAAGTGAACAGACTGCCCTTGTCAAAGCACCTTTCCACCTTCATGCTTGTTATACATGTTAAACGCGTCATAGCGTTGAAACCCACAATGTGTTCACGACAGGCAAAACTATAAGTTCGGTGGCATGCTCCAGCATACGCGCCAAAAAACACAACATTTAGATACAGGACTTTTAATAGTTTCGAAATGTTAGAGCCAGCAAAACAATATTGATAAACGACACCGGAATGAATACATTAATAGTGCAGCATGCGTAGCATATGCGTAAGAAGCAAAATAGTTGGCGTCTGCACATGCAAAGGATGACTATGTACGAGTTTAAGGGTGACCAGCGTTTATCCTTCAGAGATACGAGATGAGTGTGTGAGTCAGCAAAATGCGGGGTTAAAGCTGGCAGTGAGTTAAGTCAATAATTAATGAGCCTTTAGAGTCATTGAGCCAGGTGAAAGCTCGGTGAGACACCATATCCTTTAACGAGGAATATCTTGCCGTGTAAGTTCAGTCGTTCAACTTGTAATTTTGTTGCGGGCTGTGTGTACATTCGAGACATGATACACCTGGCACGCAGCGGCACACACTGTCACATTGTCCCCCGTGTCCATTTTTCAGCAGGCGGACGCACTTTGTGGATCAATTGCAGCAATTAGCGGACTACTCCGCAGCGGTAATGCAAACTGCCGGCCCCGTGGGGCTTGGCTCGGGGGGCGGGCAACGCCGACCGCCGCGCCGCCCGCGTCGTAGTCGTGGGGACGTACCTCGCGCCGTCGCCCACGCTGGCAGGATGGGTCGTTGAGCACCTCTTCGCTCGACAGCTCCGAGTCGTCCTCTGTCTGGCTGGCTTGCCTCCGCATGGCCAGCACGGGGTGCAGCGCCACTAGACGTTGCGCACCGCACACGAGTTACGGGATCGGTTGCGGGTGCCGTGTCTTCACTTGCCGGGTCCGTTTAGTTGTGAGTGGGTTACGGGGTGGGTGAGTAGTTTGGCACGCGAGTGAGTTTGTGGCCAAATCATTGGTCGAGTAAGTAGGTGGGCAAATGGGTGAGTGAGCGAGTGGGGAGTGAGTTGGGGGGGGGTGGGTGAAAGGGTGTGTGAGTGACTTGTGAGGCGATGCCTACGTGTTAAACAGGTGACACAGGCTAAGCAAGTATGCACGCTCACAGAGATATTGAAATAAAGTCAGTGGTCACAAATCGCAATTAATCCACAACTGAATCGATGCATTCATCATGAGAATGATAATCGACGTTAATTGATTAAGTTATGAACGTATCATTACAAGCCTGGCTGTCATAATCGAAAAACTAATAACATCGCACTGTAACAGTTCACACCAAATTTGGCAGGGGGCTATGACGAATGAGCACTGGAGATGCTGCTGCTGCTGCCGCCCTTACTTGGCTTGGGAGTGGCTGTGATGATTGGCTGCTCCGTGGCTGAGTCCACCGTGCCCACGCTGGACGCGGTGCTTGACCTCGTCCTCTCCTCCAGCTCCTTCTCCTTCCTGCGCTCCTTCCTGTATCCGTGCGAGAACACCTTCCAGAGCGGCGAGCGAGATTTCACGACGCTCGCGTTGCTCTCGTTCGCAAGGGCGGCCGCGTCCGCCGCGCGCTGGCTCTCCATCTTGGCCGCCTTGTCCTTCTTGTTTTTCCTCGGCGAGAAAAGCGAGGCGCGCTTCTTGCTCTTGCCCGCCACGTCCTCGCTAGACGTGTGCGACGTCTCGCTGCTCAGGTCCTTCGCTGGGATTTTCTTCTTGGGCCTCAGGGACAGATCGTCCACCTGAGACTCTCCCTTCAGAGCGTCGCCATCACTAAGCTTCACGGACTTGGAGGCCTTCGCCGAATCGTGCTTTCGTCGCGCCGGCTCGCTGTCCAAGTGGCGGTCGCTCGGCAAAAGGGATGGCGGTTTCGCCGCCTCCGCCGCTGATGTCGAGGGCTTCTTGCTGTGGGGGGCGTATGCGGGGCTGCTGAAGAACGAGGCCTCTACTGCGAGCTGGTCCTTGAGCTTCTCACGTTGCTGCACCATCACGTCACGCAGCACGCTGCTCTTCACCACCCGCTCGCGCTCCCGCAGCCTGCTCTCTGCCACCTCCTTGGCCTCAGGAGAGATCTTGGAGCAGGGCGTGGTCTTGCGCGAGCTGCTGTCACGGTCAAACGCGGGCCTCGTCCTGCCTGCCGGGCGGCTTGTGGGCGGCGTGTGGAACGACTCGTCCAAAAACACGCTTGAGCCCGGCGACCGGAAGTCTGTGCAGGAACCGCCCTCGTCGTCGTCGCCATCCTCCTCCTCGTCCGCGAAGGGGATCTCGTCGATACTCTCCTCCAGGGACTTCTGCCGTAGGGCGTCCTGGAGACGCGAAGGTGCGGACCTCTTGGGGGTGAGGTGTGCATCCAGGGAGAGCGGGCGTGCCCGCGGTGGCGTCGTGTGAGGCCGGTACACGAAGAGCGACGCCGGCTCCTCATTGGGGGGCGGGGGCGGCGGAGGACTTGAGGGCGGAGTCAGCAAGAGGGACGTGGATGTGTTCGGGTCGTCTTCCCCCTCCGCCCCGGGGTGGACATCTTCCACCAAACACACGCTCACATCCTCAGGGTGCAGGATATCGACGTGGTTGAGCTCCTCCCCGTTGCCCACGGTTTTGGCGACATGGTTCCGTGACAAGGCGGAAGAAAGTGAATCGCTCGCAGGTAAACTACTCGGTGTGTTCAGCCAGTCGGCTTTGCTCGCCGCGGCCGACTTGGCCACTGGGCGTGCGGGGGTCGACATCTGGTTTTCCGGTCGGGGCTCCACGGTGCTACTCCCAGCGCCTGGCTCTGCTCTTGGCACGGGCGAGCGGGCACGCGCTGACTCGGGTGTGGAGATTGTACCACTCGAGTCGGACGCGGTGGGAGACTGTCGCCTCTCCTGCCCACCAATGCCGAACCGTGCCCAGCTCAGCTCAGCTTCCAACCGGTGCCGGTCGATGGTGTCCTTTTCCTCGGCTGCCGTCGAACAGAAAACGCCGCCTGCATCACCGGCCAAAATGTCCTTCGCGTGCTTCATCTCAGACTCTGGCTCTTCATTTCTTTCGGTGGCTGTCACGGTTTTCTGAGTGTTGCTGGGCTGCTCCCACGACACACCAGCTCTCTGCATGAATGACCTTGGGGTGACGATGGGAACCTGGGGTAAACCTGACACCAAACCAGGAGACAGCTGAGTCCTCGGGGATGGAATTGGCCTGGAGGATGGCGTAAAATAAGCCGACGGTGATACGGTGCTGAGCTGGGGTTTGGTAGCGGCTGGTGAAGCCGCGGTCATCCGAGGCAGCTCCAGATTCCCATTGGGCGACTGCAGAGACCGTGGGGAGGCTTGGTCTGCAAAAGACTTGGGAGATATCAAGGACACCTGCGACAGCCCAAGGACGACAGTGGGAGACTGCGTGGAAGGGATCGGAGACAGCGACGACGGCAGTGGCAACTGATAGAATAAAGGCTTGGAGAGCGATGGCGTTGTCTGAGCTGCGTGAGAAGTTGCCGGCGACTGCACAGTCGCCAAACCCAAAGGCGAATGAGGCTGCGCCGCCACCCCAGTCGACGCCGGCTCCTTTGCCGGTGCCAAGGGAGACTTGTTGGCATCCAACAACCAAGGTGCCTGGAAGGAAGACGTGGGAGGCTGAGGTGGAAGAGGTGGGATTACCGAAGAAGGATTCTCCAGACCCCAGGGCAGAAACTCGTACTTTGATGGGGGAGGCCCGAGTGGAGAGTGGCTGAAGAAAGCTCTGGGTGACGCTTCGTGACCTTTGGAGGCTGCGGCGGACGTCGCATTTGGCGAAGAGACAGGGGGTGGGGATGGAGCGAAGAGAGGCTTGGAGGGCAGACAGTTTGAGCCGCTGTCTGCTTTGGGCTGGGTGCTCACGGGCAGCAGTGGCAAGGTGAGCGGAGGACCCTTCGCCAAGTCTGGGCACTGTAACTTTCTGCCGAGGCTCTGCAAAACAAAAAATATCGAATTGTTAGTTGAAAACAATTACCAAATATGTATTTTGTAAAATTAATAGACACGTTTGTACATCGGCGAAATGCAAAAGTGAACGAAGCCAAATACCAATGGACATGGTTTAAATGCTGGTACCTGTGCTTGGTCTGTTTTAGAGGATGGAATATTCAGTGGGAGCTCAGCCCACACGGAAGGTAATCCATTCAGATGTGGCAAGGCTGGCGTAGCTGGAAAAGAAACATGTAAGTCACCTTGTTGTTGTTTGTTGTTATGCCTCCATTCAAAACATTGTCAACAACTTACAAAAACACCATAACTTTATAAGCAGTGTCGGTATGCGACAAATATAACTATGACAGTGATGAATGACGTGAAACATGAGGAATGTTACTCTTGTACTCGAGGAGCAGCTGTTGAATTCAATTGTATGGAATTTTGAGGCCAAAACTGTAATAAAATCTCAAAATAACATGCACTCTAATTGCTACAAGGCAAAAGCTCAAGTGGCTTGGCCGATCAGCAGTTTTGTTTGGGAGTCTCGTGTGAACACCTAATGAAGGGAGCGAGCACGGTGGTCTGCTACAAGTCTTGGGACCGTTCTTTGAATCCTGCACCTCTGACCTTTAATTACGTTGGAGAAAAAAGATCACGTCGTCCCCCCCCCCCCCTTAACACCTTCAGACCCCTTTTTGTAGCCCCATTGGGTACCACTGATGTTCTCAGTCAGCCCCAAAATTGTAACTACCAAATATATATGTGGGTGTGTACATCATTGCCCATCCACTGCTGTATGAACACCTCTCCACACCGAGTCAGCAATGGGCATTTGCTTGACCATACTTCACCAGACTGGTCAGTGGGGGTGTTGGTCAAGGGTGACAGGGATCCAGGACCGGTGCAGATATCATTCGCACCTGACGCTAGCCGCAGCTGGCTATTGAGTTTTGGCTGGCAGGTACGTTGCACGATTCACGAACCCACTTGCACAAACCACTCCATGCCCGATGTCACAGGATCTATTTGATGAATGAGTTGGTCCTTGTCATGGCTGCCACTGAATTGACAGGGTTTTTCGTGGAAGAAGCACTTGTGCATGCCGTTTTCAACTTTTTAATTAAGTGGGCCACAGTGGAGACACAATTGTTTGACTGGGTTGACTTGTGCCAAACTACAGGGGAAAGTATGCATAGGCTCCTGAATTGAATTCTTCATTTACTGGGGGGAAGGAGCTGGCAACACCCAAGTTACTGACTATATAAAGACAAGCTCTCAGTGCGTTAGCAGGGATGTGTGAAGCAGATATCTCGTGTGGAGCCGCTCTTGCGGATGCTTGTTTGGGCAAGAAACACGTTTGAACGGGGGGGGGGGTCGAGTTTCTACCTAAGTTTTAAAGTGCACACATACCATAAATTGAAAATCACGCGAGGTTAGTAAAGCTAGTAACGACTAGGTGTTTCTGCATGAGCAGAGTCTGGTGGCTACTGCAAAGGTGTGGCCAACCCAGGAGCCGCCACCTGCTGGAGTATGGCTGCCATGGATGGCTCAAAGGAGCTAAACCTTCAGGAGACCAGGTCGTCTCAGGGATGCACCGATATTCGCAGCAGCCACGCGCATTGCAAGCGCACATTTAGTTGGAAAGAGATACCGAGGTGTGGTTTCTTATCCGTAAGGGTGCAGGAACCATGGGGTCTGAGTAAAGGACTGAAAGTTAGACTGATTCGTACACCGCACGACCGTGATTGCTGTGTGAAGGTGTGGTGTGGGAGAGTGTAAGTAAACCCTTGCTTGCCACACATGTAGACTGGGGGGTTGTAAATACATTGCTTTTAGCATGTAACTACAACATTACTCTATGGGTCCGCCGTTTGGTTTAATTGTAAAATGGTTTTTCTACTCGCCCGTCGTCTGAATACAAGTTTACAATTAAAATCACAGCTCGGCATTACCACCCCTCATTCACTGTGAATCCTGTGAGGTTTGGCTTTCAGCACGCGACCCCACCAATCCAACAACCCCGTGGACACTCAAAGATATATCTTCTAGGTTCTATCGGTGAAGTCACGTAGAATGGAAATAAAATAATAAAAATAAAACATAATCAAATAAAATTCTCACGAGGTTTCGGCCACAACACAAGTAGCCTTCTTCAGGTGAAGAAACAGGTCTGTCCAGTAGACAGCGCTTGAGTGAACGCTGCCAAGCAAGGACCGCGTCTTTTTAAAGGTGTGTGGGCGGAGTTAACGTATGAATTAGCATGTTACCCAGTCCCCACCTCAGGAGCGGAGGAGGGTGGCGACTGGGCACAAGAAAACACCAAAGCAGAGCAACCAAGGTGCGTTGCTCTGTCCTGTGCTGTACCATAACCATGTTATAAACTGGACTACTATACAATATTATACCTTCCAATCTAAACTACATGGCATAATATCATATCCATAGACAAATTCCACCTTTGAATTATACAATGCGTGTTACTTTACACTACCCTATACTTTAGACTATATTAATTAGAAGATGAATCCCTGCAGTCACGAAAGCTTTAAATCGAAATATATCTTCTAATTTGTTTAATGCATTACACATGACGCAGGTTTGGTCCCTGCATCCAAGCTCCCTGTATCTCACCTGTTCCTCGAGCCAAGATATCATCTCCCTGGAATCGGCGTCCGTGGGCATTGCCCCCGAACGTCGCCTTTTCCTCGTGAGGACCGGGCACCGGGGTGTGAGGACTCTCGGCATCCTCACTTTGGGGCTCTGCGGGGAGAGCAGAAGACACGTGCTCAGGTTTTAATGCGAGCATTGTTTTGCTAACGCACGTAAAGTCTCAAGCCACGGCGGGGGGTCTGCGATTCCGAAGACATTTCAAACACAGGAAAGGTGCGAGTTATCGTTGGTATGATCCATTAAGTGGCTTTTTGCTTTGGCACAGCATGTCGTCGACCAGTTACATTTTTTTATGAGGAAAAATATCTCCTGAAATACCACGGAATCGGACGTACTTGGATGAGCGGACTTGTTCATCCACAGTGACGGTGTATTCAGTTTCGCATGTGTGTGTGTCATATCTTTGATTCATGGAATACTCCATTTTTTTTTTAAATAGACAAGTAATCTTGATTTGAAGCTTTCGTGACTGCAGGAATCCATACTCTTTGGTTCTTTCGGTAAAGTCACGTTGGTAGAAAAATAAAATAAAACAAAAAATAATATATCATGACGTTTCGATCGCAACACAAGCGGTCGTCCTCAGGCGAAGAAAATAATCCAGCAGTTGAACTGCTGAACCAGCTGGATTATTTTGGTTCAGCAGTTCCATTGCTGGATTATTTTTTCCGCCTGAGGACGACCGCTTGTGTTGCGATCGAAACGTCGTGATATATTATTTTTTGTTTTATTTTTCTACCCTACGTGACTTTACCAAAAGAACCCGAGTATAGAATAGACAAGCACTTAAAAAATAATACCCCATATGCATTATTAAGATGATGAGGTCATCTAATTTGTGGAACGTCCCCATAGAGGATCGTTGAAGTAATATTCGAGATACCCTTTATAGGATCATACTGGAACCAAGTGATAAGCAGAATCTCTAGTCACCAATGAGCAAATATGACAGGGAACATCTAATCGGAAGACGTGCTTTTGAGAAGTTGGCGGGGTAAAAACATAACAACGCTGGGATACATTTTCATTCAGCAGTAAGGCCTCCTCCTTCATTGAGACATGGAGAATGCAGACTGCATTTGGCCTTTCAAGTCTGGGGTCAAGCGTCAGTGCTTTGGAATGCGTGTTTCGCCAATACGGTCATCTAAATGGCCACGTGTCTCGATTCTTCATACAAAAAAGCTGTTGCAACTCGTTAATGCAAAAACTACGTTGACAATTGTTTTGCAGTTAAATGGCAATCATTGCACTCAATTCAACTGGTGCATCACTTTGTGAATAAGCTACAGGCATGCGTAAGTCTTGAATGAGATTTCACTGACTCCTTTGTAAATGAGGCCAAATGTAGAATATAATTTTCAATGTAAAAACATGGAATAGCATTAACTGAAACAAAAAATATGCCTGGACGATGATGTCATACATTTAAAAACTAGAGGAATATTATAAAAATTAACCTTTCAGTCTGGTTTCAACAAATCGCTATGCCTTTCAATCAGCCCACCTTCATGTGACCTTCCAGACTCTATAAGGCGTTCGCTTACACAGATGTACAGGGTGGCGCAAAAGTCAGGAAACATAGGGTTATTATATTTATTTCAACACTGGCATAAATATTTTTTATTGTATATTATTTAAGTTCATATTTTATCATGGGACCTTTTTGCCAGTATCAAAGAATAAAAAATAAGAATAGATTTTACCCTTTCTGGGAATAAAACAGGAGGCGTTAAGATATCTTTTTGCAAGGAATCAAGTCTGCATTAACCACACACAGTACTTGTGGTGAACATGCAAACAAACATGCTCTGATAATAAATGCATTGTCTTTGAAACTGAGTGGCATACACCAGAGACAGCTTTATTTATGTGTGGCCTAGTCGCACCAGTGTCAGACCAGAGAACGCCAAAAGGTGAACAGTGATATATTATCATTATTAATATCTATTTTTATCTATTTCTTTTTCAGATGCCATTTAAAAACGAATTCAGACGAAACTAATTTGATGAATGTTTAAAGATTACACCTGAAATGTTTAAAAGAAGTCCCAAATTAAATAGCATTCATGCGTGCGTGCATGCATGTTAATGACAGTAATTTTTAACATTTGTTCAAATAAATTAAAGAAACCCTACGTGATTTGTTAAAATAAATATAATAACCCTGACTTTTAGGCCACTCTTGTATGTTAAAAGCTGCTGGCTCCCAGGCCCTGTGAATTCCGGTCACTGTGAATTACTCGGAATAATTTATTTACCTTGTAATGACTGTTTCATACCTTGTTTTGGATTCAGTGAGTCCAACATTGTGGAATATCATGTAATTGTGTTTTCCATCTTTAATTTTACTTAGCAGTTACAGCATTGCTGAAATGAATTCAATAGGCCAAATCCAGTTGCCCTGTCTCTGTCTCATTGCTAACACTGGGTGGCAGTGTGGCCCGCGCTTGACAAGCACTACACTGCCAAGGCGATGGACGTTCCTTACAGTACATTATTTTAAGGCCCCTTTCTCCACAGGGACAGCTCCACTGGCATGATGAAAATGAGGGCCGCCTTGCCCAGAAGGCATTGCACCGATGGTGGGCTTTTAATATTTCAACGGCCAATAAAGGGATCTTCACGTTATCCCAGGGTCAAACAGTGACCCCGTTTAGAAGTTGGGGAATAATCTGATATTATCACACAGATTACAAAAAAATAGATATATATCGTAAAACCAGGTGGCGAGTATTTTCAATGCACCAGTATATAGTTACACTGTAAATAGCCTATTTTGGCCGTGACTGCTGCGGTAGAATGGTAATAGCTAGCAGTAGCTCACTAATCTGCCTCTAAATGGAGTTGGAAGCAGCCTGCTTCTAAGAAAGGGATTAAATAACACCAGCTGATGGTGGCAAATGGGACGCACTTCCAAACGGCTCCCTGGATAAAGTATCCAAGCAATTTGCTTGCACTGTATTCACCAGAGACATGAAGACTGTTTAAGTTTCAAAGTGAGAATTAGCAATTCCCTGGCAATACAGGGCAGTTCATTTGAACTATGAATTGATAATTGGCTACAGTTGAGTCCCGGTTGAATAACCGAGGAGAAAAAAAAACATCGACCTATAAGTAGCGATGATATGAAAAAATGTACAACATTTTACTCCTCTAATCAGAAGCACCCATGTGTGTGCACACGTATAAATACAATTCATACTCAATTGTAGCAGCATGTTAAATCACTGTTGAACATTTAAAAAAAAAGTGTTTAGTTCAAAATAGCAACGAAGGGGACGGTGTTTTGACATTTGGGGTCTCATCAGCGACGTGCAGCTGTCTCTCTGGTTAAACACTCGCCAAAATATCAACGTGATACATAACACCGCCTTACAATTCGACTCCGCAGCGGGTGAACGTTGGAAAGGCACAAAAACAAGTGCAGCTGTGCTGAGTCAGAGACTGCTGCTTGAAATTCCCCAAGGGCCCTCCCCTCTACAAGGGCGCAGACAACCCACGTGGTCCCTAGAGGGCCGCTCGCGTTTTGCCCGGCTCTCGGTGAGCAGTGGGGGGGTTGCTGCATGTGGATACACGGTGAGGGCAGCTGTGACCGTGACGGCACGTTCACTGCGCGGGCAGCGGCTGATCGGAGTGTGTGTGTGTGTGTGCACAGGTGCCGTGCCGGCAATCCTCATGAAACCAGCGGCTATGCAAACACAGGGCCTAGGAGATACGACGGCCAGATTCGCAGCCCGACAAGAGTGTGGAAACACATCGCGCCTCGGTGAATTGCTCGAATGTTGGTAATAGATACGTTGATAAAGGCATGTTTTTTTTGCCGTACCAAAAAGACAATAAAGGAACTAAACCTTGCGGCTGAATCGTGTAATTGCTCTTTTCTAGCCACCTAAAGAGCATTTTGGCAACAGCCAAAGTTGGAGGTGGCTTTTATGTTAAATTCGAGTTGAACACAAACGTGGCTAATATATAATGAACGGACTGTCGCCCTTTTACAGGAAACACTATAGCTTCGTTAAAATAACAAAACCTACAACACAGGTTTGACTCATAAAGTGTCTCAATACAACCACATCTCAAAACGTTGTAGAAAATCGAGTGACGTGAGAGTGCAGATCATTTGAAGGAACCTTTTTGGAAGGCACTAAATAGTGAGAGACCATCGAGCAGGGTAGGATGGAAGTCGGTATGGCAGAGATGTTAGATATGCGATTGAAACCAATTCAGCGAGAGACAGTCACAGGCAGAGGAAGGATTTCAGGATTCTCGCCGCTTCCCACTGCCAGAGGAAGGGCGTTTCAGACAACACGGGCAAATGCAGAGAAGAAGCAACCTCCGATTTATGGAAGGTTAATGCAACCCTTTTTTCCCCCAAAATGTTTAAAAACTACCTCCTTGAGGTGAACTACAATGAGCAACATTTTGATAACTTATTTCACTTGGTTACACGTGAACAGTTTAATCAAACTGGCTGCAGTTAGTAAACTGGTTTCTTATTTCACGCGAAAAAGGCTTGTGTTGGGGCAATTCTCGAGCCAACTGCTGATATTTCTCTTCTGACTGGTATCCAGATGCTCCTGTCTGTCTCCTCACATTGCTTCATTATTTAAGTAAAACTATATCATGTACAATGTGTTGCATACAAATAACATGCAGTCATTTTCCAACCCACTGCTATAGGTTGGATTCCCTACGTCATGGGTATTGTTTGACCATACCATGCTTGTGAAGGGGGTGGGGGCCAGGACAGCTCAGACATCACTCAGCACCGATGTTAGCCCTGTCTGGGAGTTCAACTTAAGTGGCCAGGTTCATAGCAGGGTACTGTACATGAACCATGGCACCCATCACTGCACCGCATTATACTATTTACCCCTCAGGACTTATTATGTGTTGGTGACAGTATGATATTGCCTCCCTTGGATATTGATAAGGGTTGTGGGTTTTTTGCTGGAATATAACTGAAAGCCATGGCAAGGCCCTTTAAAGTTGTACTAAGAATGTAATAAAATGACTTCACTGCTGCATAGTATCAAAGTACACTACTTTTTGTGTTAATGAGTCACTTGTTCACCGGATCTAAAACATACAGTTTAACATACAGTTTAAATGTAACCTGGCTCTCCGGCCTTGATATAATCACTAAATAACGATCATTATTAATAATTGGCTTAGCTGACTCTATAATGCCAGGTATTTTGCTTGTAACAGAAAGAGAAAAACGTTCACCAATTACCAACTGGTAAAGCAGACGACACCGGTGGAAAATATCCTGACAAAAAATACCCGCAGATTTTAAATGTCACAAAATATCCCAACTTGACGCACACATTTTGTTGGTGACGTTTGACCACGGGGAAATGAGGTGGTGGTAAGTTACCAGCTATTGAATCCACACCGTCACGGGGACTGGCAACACACCCAATTCCATTATCTCTACCGTCAGTGCTAGCCTTGACACAAACACAATTGTGTATTCACAGTTCATAACGGCTAAGAGTTGAAAACCCAACCGAGGGAGGGGTCCGGTGTTGCACAACTGCTTTCAGGAACCAATATTTGCACTTAATGTTTGACCTGTAGTTTGACTGCTGCCCACAACTTTAATTACTGTTTGGGCACCCAGTAAAACATACAAACAGCCGCCTCTTGCTAGCAGCTAGGTGCTGATCAAACGTGGTTTAAGCTTCTAAAGTTAAATTACACTTTACTGTGTCGTTAGCCCTTGGCCTCAATTAAGCATCAACAAAGCACAGTCCAACACAATAAAGTATAGCTGAAGGGACAATTCAAATGGAAACATGTCAATTAACATCGGTAACACTGTGGCTCGTAATGCTTCAAAGTCTTCCTCGAATTGAAGAGATGCAAGCACTGCAGGCCAATGTGCAATGTTGTCACGGTCTTAGGGTAACCAGGTGCTTCTGGATGATGGCCGGTATTTAAATAGCAACTGCCTTAAAATGCGAATTCCACAAAGAACTTAGGAATAACCAATTTTCAGGACACTGCACAGTGGTCCTTCCCCCGTGATGTTCTCACGTCACACCTCAGAGAGTAAACGCATCGCCTCAAACGGCATCACCATTCAACACGAGCGGAGCTGCCCCTCCTGACGCATGCTCCACTCGCTCAGTCACAAAGACTCAACTGGCGCGTGGGCGAACGGACCGCAGCAGGTTCCCCGCCGTAAACCAAATTGAACGCTTTCCGCAGAAGATGAAACGCTCGCGCACTTTTGCACATCTAGAATCTGGGCTTGAGCACGGCACCTGCTGACTGAGATTGCGGCAAGGGCGGCGGCGGCGGCGACATCGAGTCGTTCACAGGTGCGCTGGCGCCCGCGTGTTTTGTCCAGGGTGCGGCCTGACCCCCGGAGCGAAGGTCACTTCCAGGCGACGGCGAAGCGGACCGTGGTTCCTCGGCCGCTTTACTGGTGGACGCACCAGCAGCACCCGCCATTGCCGCCGCCGCCGTTGCCGCCGCCGTTGCCGCCGCCGCCGTTGCCGCCGTTGCCGTTTCCGCTGCGAGACACAGGTGAGGTTCGTCACCGCGCGGCGCGCGAGAGGCGACGCGGCGTGAAGCCGCCGCCAACGTGGCCAGCGTGGCCGGCACCCGAGATGCATCGGCCCCCCGCCGACGGTCAGAGTGGCGTCCCCGATCTGGTACAGTGGCCATGCCGCGTTCATTAACCGTGCTTCGTGACCAAACACTTGGTGCCCATTTGGTGCAATGCTACCATTTGTATTGCACTCGGCAAGTAACAATAAATGATAACTTAGATCGCGGGGAAAATATATACACATTGTGCACCTCATATACTGTACACACATGGCATTAACACAGACGCTTTGTATGATGTCGTCTACATACAAGGAGAGGTCAAGAGGTGTACAAGCCGAGATACTAAAGTTCACCAAAATCATCTTGCGCTTATTTAGTGCTGCCTGTACCTGCTGTATTATTGACTTCATATGAATGCATTTAGGGGAGCGGTGGCGCAGTGGCTAGCACAGTGCGCTTACGAACGTCAGTAGCAATGTGAGTTCGACCCTCGTCCGTGGTAAACATCAGCAGTGAGCGAAATCTGTCCTGGTTCTGAGCACCGCCTTCAATATCCTGCACTGGCCCACGTGGTGAATAACAACCAACACAGCACGGGGAGGCCTTCACGCAGCAGTGGGCTGAAAAAAGGCTGTCTTACCATTATTATTATTAAGCGCATTGATGTAAGAGAATGATATTAAATGCACTGATGTCACAGGTTACAAATATATTGCATGTAAAAAATACTTTCTTTAACCCTCATGACAGCTCCTTGTATATACACAGGGACCATATATAATAAATGTATATGTTTAAAGCAATGTTAACAGATGCTGTTAATGCAGAGTTATTTTGTAACCGCGTCGATATCGGGGCCCACGCTGCCCAGTCACAGCATCCACCGGACATTTTCCCCATTCCTCAATAAGCCTGTGTTATCTGCCACACACGCAATGTTAGTGCACGTACGTCGCACCGCGGCCGGTTAGGGCAAGCCAAGTTTGCTGGGGCCTCTTCATAAGCCACGCATTGTTACGCCCATTGCTGTCAGTGGGACCGTTCCGCTTATCGGAGTAAAAACGACGTGAAAATCATGAGTCGATAGACACGAACGAGGCATAGAAAGCCATCGGAGCTCGTCGTCAGCCAAGCAGGAGTCGCGTAGCCACTGCAAACCGAGAACCACCAGCCACCCCCCAACATACACACAGATGAGTACACACAGCACCAGCAGTGGCAGTACCAGCAGCAGCAGTGGCGGTCATGTGGCAGACAGGCAAACCGCAAGACTCCCCATGGGGCTTCAGCCCCAAGCCACTGCCCGGCAAGTGTGAGTGATGGTGGGACAGCAAGCTAGCCGGGAAGCATTTAGTGATGCACACACCCCAGCATTTGAGTGAACCAAACAAGGTGGCCTTCTGTGAAAAAAAGAGACTCAATGGGAACTTACTAATAAATGCATAGCACCGTTTATTGGGAGCTCCTGCGTTTAAAAGGCATTCATATGCAGCCATGAATGCCGACATAACAAATGGATTTTTTTTTTTTACATTTGGACAGGAAAGATTCAAATAAGAAATAAAACCTGGCAAAGGACAAAAGGGGTGACGGACTCAGGAAGGTTAGACACCGACGCCCACAGATGGGCCTCCACCCAGCAGCGAGCGACCCAGAACCCGGCAACGCGAGCTCGGCCCCATGCAATGCACGCTTATCTCCGCGCAGCACCCGGCACAGCATCCCAGCATGCAATAGGAGGGGCCCCCATGGCCGACCAATGAACGCACAAGAAAGGACAGGCAGAAAGGAGAGACGGGACCACGAGGGCGGGGGGGGTGGGCACATGCAAACGCACGTGCATACACACGTGTGTGCACCGCTCACAGGCATAGTCCTGGCCCCTCCGGCGTGCAGCCTCCAGCTGAGGCAAGAGCAACTCCATCGCTTCCAAAACACGGTGTCGTGATCACGTTCAATCAAATCAAATCATTTTGTATTTGGCCATTTGTAGAGGACAAAAGGCTATCACGAAGGCGCTACAATTCACAAACGATGAGAGTCTGTGTAGTTTCACAGCAGAGGGCGCTGTTGCTTTACCGAATTCGGTGAATGTAAGGCAAGAATTGTATTCAACACTGTGAATCAGAATTCACCCATGGCCACTGTGCATTCAGCCGATGGAATTTGTAAAGATGAAATCTAAAAAGCAATGGAGTCTGCTCTTCTGCTGCTGAAATTCACGGCACCGGGCGGAGGCGGTTGAACGCCATGGACGCACGTGCGCGGACAAGCGTGCGAGCTCAATGCGCACGCGCACACACGCACACACACGTCAAAGCGGACGGCAAGGTACAGCGGGAGACGCGGACAGAGAGGGCTACCTCCGTTGGTCGCCCGCAACCATGCCATGACCGCGTGGTTCCGTGAAGACGTCATCTCTGTGGTCGAAGGGTGCAAGAACACAAGATTCAGATATGCATGCAAGTTTGTATTCTGTGTGGGGGTTTAGCAGAAAACCTGCCACACGTGCGTGTACAACGGGAGCACATCTTGCATAAACTAAAGTCCCAGCGCATCCTCGTTCCAGTGGCTGTAAAGGGGATGGGTGGGGAGGGAGGGAGGGAGGCAAGCGGGCATGTAGACCTTGGCTCAGAATCACGAGTCAAGAATGCGGTCAACACAGTGGGCACGCTGGTGAATGTGGAACGGTGAACCTGCCAATCATTTGCAACCGACAATGTGCAAGATTCACGACATTCAGCACCTCTAACCACATTATTTCAGCCTCATGACAAACGTGCAAATATTAATTCCGAAACCAATGTGTAAAGCACAATGCAATAATATGTCCAAAGAGTGGAGAATTTCTGGAAATGGGGATATATGGCACGTGGTTTTATATCCGACAGTGATAATTCCATAAGGGGCTGCATATACATTTCCTCTTCACTGTGATGAGCCAAGGGCATCTGTGTGTGTGTGTGTGAGAATTGAGCCAAATAAGATATGCAACGAACCTATAACTAAACCTCACTGTTCTCCAAAAGTGAATACTTGGCCCGGAGCTACGAATAAAAAGTTCCTAAAGCTGTCAGCACCTGTGATGTCTGGCTAACCCCGAGCGTACAGCGTACGCTGATGTGCAGCCACAGTAGAACAAAAAAAAACCCTCAATTTCTTGCGAAGCTTTTGTGATATTTCCACAAGTTGTGAATTTACGAATTTACTTTCTGTCAGACGGTATGCACTCACTGGCATGGAAAAGTATATAATTTATTCACTTTAAACTCAACTGGCAAACTTTTCAAGAAATAATTTAGCTTGTATATATACATTTTTCAAAATTACCACTCCAAAGTTTTAAAAACGTCAAAGTGAGCATTGAGCACCTCCTGTTTATCTCCAGTGGTGGCCCTCAGCCAACTGTGAAAATGTCCACATTCCTATGACAGGGACCACACACTCTTCATCGAGAAACCGTCTTCTATCCTGAGGTCCTACACAAAGCAGTGCGGCCCCACCAGGTGGTGCTTACGTTACAGACCCTGGAGAGGTGATCGACCGAGTAAATAACGGGCCCGCACTTAAAAATAACGGCGGAGTGTTTGTGTAAGAGTTTCTACTTGTCCAGGGACTGCGTTTATGGTGCCTTCAAGTCTTCGTGGATTCGCAGCGTGTGCGCACGCCCACAGTACCTTCTGCCACGGTGGCGGCAGTGGGCGATGTCTGCAAGGACCCCGCGATGGGCGGCATTGCGGACAAAGGTGCCTGAACGTCTAGCACTGCTGTCGCCTTCGCCTTATCCCTTAGCTTCAGTCGGGAAACTTTGTTCGGCAGCCAAGGAGGGGGGTGGTGGGGGGGGGGTTAACGTACCAGACCGAGGAATGGAAAGAGGGGAAATAAGGGATGTATGGGAGGAAGGAAGGGGAGGGCAGGTTAGGTAGGAGAGGGAGAAATGAGAGAGAGAGAGAGACAGAGACGGTAAACATTCACATCAAGAGAAGCACAGCAGAAAAATGTTTAGAATAAGACTCCCCCCTCAACATGAACCGTTGCGTTAGAAAGAGACGGCAGAAATGTGTCTTGACAATCAGAGACTCGCAAAGAACACTGCAAGATTAACAGAAAGAGAAGTGAGCTTGGCAAAGAGATTGTGAGCAGTTTAATCGTGGAAAGTCAAACATAGTTGCATCTGCATGCAGACTTGATTCTGTGTTCCCCACTCCAGCCCCACGCCCTTAAATCGTGAACACTCCCAAGGCAACACGCAAAGACTCACGTTAGTCACCCAACACCTTCAACGTTAGTCACCCAACACCTTCAACGTTAGTCACCCAACACCTTCAACGTTAGTCACCCAACACCTTCAACGTTAGTCACCCAACACCTTCAACGTTAGTCACCCAACACCTTCAACGTTAGTCACCCAGCACCTTCAACGTTAGTCACCCAACACCTTCAACGTTAGTCACCCAGCACCTTCAACGTTAATCACCCAACACCTTCAACGTTAGTCACCCAGCACCTTCAACGTTAGTCACCCAATACCTTCAACGTTAGTCACCCAGCACCTTCAACGTTAGTCACCCAACACCTTCAACGTTAGTCACCCAACACCTTCAACGTTAGTCACCCAACACCTTCAACGTTAGTCACCCAATACCTTCAACGTTAGTCACCCAGCACCTTCAACGTTAGTCACCCAACACCTTCAACGTTACTCACTCAAAACCTTCAACGTTAGTCACCCAACACCTTCAACGTTAGTCACCCAGCACCTTCAACGTTAGTCACCCAGCACCTTCTACGTTAGTCACCCAACACCTTCAACGTTAGTCACTCAACACCTTCAACGTTAGTCACCCAACACCTTCAACGTTAGTCACCCAACACCTTCAACGTTAGTCACCCAACACCTTCAACGTTAGTCACCCAACACCTTCAACGTTAGTCACCCAACACCTTCAACGTTAGTCACCCAACACCTTCAACGTTAGTCACCCAACACCTTCAACGGCAGCCACGTTAATGGTTATACAAAGGCACCAACAAACCGTCTCCTGTGAACTCTTTATCCAAACTTTTATTACGGTCAGTATTACTCGTGCCTATATTTATTTATTTGGTTAAACTCAGTAATAGTGTAAGGGAGTGTTGTGTGCGATACTGCTGTCAACGCATCTTCATTTTGGGCAAAGGTGCTCACCCCCCCCCCTGCCCAGCCTGGCTCGTCAGCTGTGTCTCATTCAGGTACGTGGTGGCACACATCAAGTCACCAGCCAATCCCATTCTCACACCGTTCTACTGAATGGTCCTTTTATTTGCCCGTTGAAAACAAATGGCAGCTGGGAGACACAGCAGCCCGCCCCAAGAAGAAGAACAACAACAAAAAAACACGAGCTGAGCAACCTCCTGCCAAAATGAAGCCATGTTGAGAGGACAAGGCACTGTCTAAGTAGTTTATGGCTGAGGTTACGTGGGCTGGACTGGCACACGCGGACACACGCTAACTCTGCCAGTGGGTGCAGCTAGACCAGAGCCCAACACCATAGGAGAGGAGGAGGAGGGTGTGAGGTGGGATCATGTTGAACAGAGATATCGGAAAAGATTTGCCACTCCTTTAAGCACAGAAAGTGAGGATCGTGCATGGCATTACCTAAGCTTTGCATGTACACAAGCACAACTTATCAGGTTGGCTGGTGTGGCTGTAAGGATGCGGAGACTGTTTGGTTTAATTGCTTTAATATGCAAGCGATGATGGAAGTTTGAATCAACATTCCTCTCCACTTTCTCCCCTCCAACATAATCGTCACCCCCCCTCCTCGTTTATGCACTGCTCCATCCCCGCCACTAGTTGGTTCAAGGGCAAGAGTAATTATTGGGGAGTGCTTCTTGCCGGCGTCACACAGGGCTGGTGACGCTTTGTGTGTCACCATCACACCATGCCCAACAGCGGTACCTGCACTGGTTAGGTCACGCTCAGGGCCCTGCAGACACCACCACCGGCCGGATTGCAACTCCCTCTCCCAGGGGTAATACTCTCCCTCTGGGCAAAGTGGGCAAAACACGGCCGAAAATGATTTGACTGATGGGCGGATGGGCGGAGGGACAGACGAATTGAAGGACAAGACAGAAAGACGAACGGAAGGAAAGACAGACGGATGGAAATTCCAGTTGGGTGGGCAGAAATACAGATGGATGGACAGGACGGAAAGACCATGCACTCATGCATGAGACCAACTTGTGAGCCCTGTCTATACAGTGAGTGGCCTCACGTGCCCGGCCGACTGCTCATAGGCCTCGGGTAAGCCTGTCGAACCACACCCACTTACTTAGAATGCCCTGTCCTTTGAGCCATACATGAAGTCAAAATGTGATCATCTGGAACAAAACTCAGATTTGTACAAAAACTACGGGGCACTGAAACAGCATTTCTGGGACTGTCTCAGGCAAACCATGGACCTTTTGGTAGCCTTACACTAATACGCCTTCACAAAAGCTGCATAGGCGAAGGGGCTTGCCAATGGCACAGCAAGGTCCTGCGTGGCACGCAATGGGACCAGGAGGCAATGAGTTGGTTTCCTGGTACTGGCGCTTAGGGCTGCAGCTATTGTTTGCCTAGGAAATTAGGCTGATTGTCCGTAAACACATCTCCACATTCCTAACATCCCATTATATAGCAGCATGTAGTTGGAAAATCCATTAACTTGTCCAACGTGCATGGGTGTCCCTAGGGTGCCTGGCTATTAATTATGCATCTCAGGGTGCACGATGTGTTCACCACTAATGTTCCAGTTGATTACAAATCATTAATAGATAAGCTATTAATTTGTTTTTGACACATCAATATTTATCTTTTATATAGTAGAATAAATATGAGGTAACTACTTTCATTTTTAAATAAATAACAGACTAATCAATGCATCTCATGTATATATCTTACTGTGGATTCAAGTTGTATCCATCCAACACTTATATTGATTCGTAAACTGGTTGTAACGTCAATTCGATTTTTCCAATATTTTTTTGTAAGGCACTGTAAAGTTCTTCAATAATTTCCTATCATTAATGTTCATTATTTTTTTATAATGACTATCTCTTCAGCAAAACAAAGTTGACTAAAACCTTTTCCATCCATCAAACTTAAATTATATTGCCTATATTGAGCCAGGGGAATTAATTCATCAAATAATCTTCTGGACATTCTCACAGTTAATAGGTCTCCCCGAAGGTATCTGCTACCAATTTTTGATTTAAAGCTTTCGTGACTGCAGGGATTCATATTCTTGGTTCTTTCGGTAAAGTCACGTAGAAGGGAAACAATAAAATAATAAAAAAATATAAAACAATAAAATTCTCACGACGTTTCGACTTCAACACAAGCAATCATCATTGTGTCGCGGTCGAAACGTCGCGAGAATTTTATTTTTTATATAGATTTTTATTATTTTATTGTTTCCCTTCTATGTGACTTTACCGAAAGAACCAAGAATATGTATCTGCTACCAGTTTCTTGCAGCAAGCATCGTAAATTACCCTCGACGCAATTCCACTAATCTCCTTTCCCTTTTATCGGTGGACATAAATTAGCAGAAGGCTTCAGCATTCCAGGACAGCTGGCCTCCCGAGTCATTACTAGGCTGCTGGGAAGACAGCTACAGGCAGCCAGACAGGCACACACAATTGTCCGTCATCAGTTACCGCATGCAGCTGGGCACTGGGGTAGAGGTCAGCCCTAGGGGTCACAGTTCATATCGAGAGCTTTGTGACTGCTGGCTCAACATTTCATTTATTTATCTATTTACTTGCAACACAACAGAACAAATGCTCACGTTCCTTGCGATGTTTAGGTATGAAAGGTCCCATGATATTTGGGTATTAACTTTGTAGAAAATATGACACGCGTCTATTTTACATGCATGCGCAACGGGTCGCTAAAATGTTGTTAGAAACTTAACATGGGCACCATACTAAGTACCATGAGCATTCATTTTCATTTTATCACTTAAGAAAGCTCCACATGGCCTAGTTAAATTATACGAAAAATTTTAAGCGATTAAATTATCCTCGCTCTCCCTTCAGAAGAGATATCTCTGAAAACAAATGGAACAAAATAAAATGTGGAGCCGTCAAACTTCAGCACGGACGGCGGTGGGAGAACAACACAGGCGAAGCCGGCTGAATCAACTGAGGAAAAATTGTGCAAAACTCTGTTTAAAGCTTCAGATAAGCAACGCCATTAAAATCCCCTTTAACGATCAAAAATACTTTTCCCAGGCTGCTTTACGAGCCTCTCTCATACTTATCTGACAATTGTAAATATATACTGTAACTGTTAAAGAGCCACTGCAGCTTAAATGAGATCTGTGTGTGTGTGTGTTCACAATACTCCTGGGCACTCATCCTGCTTAACGGTGATTCTGAGTGAATTCCAACTAAAGCCAGGTTAAGAGGTATTTCAGCAGAACACTGTGTGGAGACGATGATCCATGTAGCAAAAAACACAAATCGAGTAAACAAATTCAACTCATTCACAAACGCAAACTGCAAAAAAATTCCCGCACCGCTTTTTTTTCTCAATTGAGCCAAGTCGTCCTAAGCGCTCTGACAGCTGTGGAGGTTTTTAGGTCCCATTTGTTAACGCGCGCATCCTGATGAGAACGCTCGGCTTTGGGGGGGGGGGGGGGTGGGCATAAACCCACCCGCAGGTCATTTCCTGCTCTCTCCTCAAAAAAATAATTCCTTCAGCAGGTGTCATTTTGGCCACAGTGACATATACTTTCACAGAGCAGAAGAACTGCACAACTGTTCAATGCAGACTCGTCGTTCTGGAGCATTGTGCACAGTGAAATGTGTAAGCAAACTCTCAGCGGTATTTGTATAATGAGCCTGACTGCTGATGAGACCCAAAAATGTCAAAATTGAGCCATAAGTTTGATTGTTTAATTTGTAATCAATAATATTGGTCTGAAAGGAACAATGGCTGATGGAATGAAAAATATTTTACATGAACAATTGCGTGTTCACAGCTGAAAATTACTGAAATAGGGCTCTGTTCTTGCGGATGATCTAAGAATACGCAATTAGTCTGTCACACTGAATGTCCGGTCTGGGAACATTTCTCGTTAAAAAAATGTTCACTGGTAACAATGAAACTCATTAAAGCTCAACGGCTTAGAATGCACCGCTTGTTCAGGCACGTTAATGTATGTGAAGGATTGTATTACAACTGCATGGCTGGTTAAGATATCTAGAGACAAATGTAGATATCTTAACCAGATCTCATGTTTAATCTCTTAGCGATGCAAAATAAAAAAAATATATAACAATGATAAATATCGAAGTGATGTGAAATGTTAAAAAGTCATTGAGAACTATGCATCCAAGGCAAGCCTAAATTCACCATAACCTGAGAATTTACAATCTGGCCGAGATAGATTGCAGTGTGGGCAGTCTTCTGCACGGTAAAGCCATCCAAGCAAGATACATCGGCACATTCCGCCATGGCTCGCAAGGAATGCTACTGGCAGAGTGAACCGCTTTTTCCAGCAATAACGTGAAATGCCACTCAAGTTGGAACTGGAATCGAATACATTTCTTTATCCGCAATGTTAATCTCACTCGTATAAATATTATTGAAGGCGAATACTATTCTCTGCCGCTGCAAATACGATCTTTGGTATTTACAGCAGAGCTTCATGATAACAATACTATTCTCTGCCGCTGCAAATACGATCTTTGGTATTTACAGCAGAGCTTCATGATAACAATGTGGAAAGTTTCTGAAATCCCTTCCTCTCGTCTGTCCACTGAGCAGTACAAATGGGCACACCATAGTTACAGTCGATCGGCAGGTGGTCGTGTGTGGTGAGGTGAAATGTGACAACTCCCACCATCTTCCCAGACATCTGGCCAACCTGGAAGAGTAGGCCAAATATACGCACTGGAGGGACTCTCTAGAACTCCCTCTGGTGAAGGCCCTTCTGCCCAGCAGTGACATGAACAAGCAATTGCAGGGCTGTACCTTTTCCTTTTATCACTGTAAAACTATTTTTGTTGCATGTATTTTTGAAATGTTAAATGTTTTGTAATTTTATCATACAATACATCCTGTAGGAGTAGAAATGTAAAAAATTAGGCAACATTTTTAACAAGGACAGAAAATAATTAATCCCAGCGAACTGGGCAGGTACAATTCCTATTTAGTCTTTCAATTATAATGTTGACAGTTCACTTTATGTAGATCACTTGATGTAACTTAAAGTGTCCCAATTTATGAAGAAATCTTCTTAACGACCACGACATATGATTTACGAACAACATCTCGCAATAAGGTCATGAGGTGGGGAACGAATTTGTCACCAAAGATGCTCCACTGGAGCCCTCTGCTATGCTGTCCAGCTCGGTCTAAACATTTTGAGCAAGGATCAACTTTTGCATAACATCAACATTAAAGCTTGCCAACAAAACAACTCGGTAGGGGCTGGGACCCCATTGCACTGACATCACGTAATTAAGTGAGGCCTGAACGTGAGCCAACAGTGCACCGTGCTTATAAGCATTAACCGGTAAATCCTCCAAATCCCACTCGCTCGGGTTTCCCTTACCGTCGCTCGATTCGTCCTCATCTCCTTCCTCTTCCTCCTCGTCGTCGTCATCGTCGTCGTACTCCTCATCTCCGTCCTCGTAACCGTCCACCAGCCCCAGCGCAATCGCCTCCCCGGCCTCGGCCAGATTTCGTGCCTCCTCCTCGGCGAGCCGCTGGGCCTCGCGCTCCGCCTCCTCCGCTGTGCGTCCCCGCAGGATCTCGTGCCGCTTCACGGCCTCCTTCCACGGCATGCCGCCCAGGTCCGACCCAGAATCATCGTCGCTAAAATCCTCCTCCACCTCTTCTTCCTCCTCCTCCTGATCCTCTGTCTCCACACTCAACCGCAGACACCTCTCTCTCGAGTTTGCGGGCTCCAAGGCTCCACCATTGGGCTTTGGTTCCGCGGAACCCCCAGCCACTGCTGTGCCATTCGCCTCTGAGGGAGGCTTCGCGACATCGTTCTCCACCGAGGCAGCCGGTGGCACCGCTCTCTCCCGTGCCTCATCGGCCCATGTGCCGGCGGTCGGGGAGGTGGGGCCTTGTTTCGTCATCTCCCTCCATCGATCGTCGCTGAAACCGGCGGCGGTGGCAGAGGCGGCCGCCGTCGGGAACCCGCCACCCCACGGGCCGGCCGCCTCATCTGATGGCGCCACGTGGACGTCAACCAAGGGATTCGCCTTCCACTCGAGGGGCTCAGGAGAGGGGGTGCGGTCCAGCCGTGGGGGGCTACTCCACGCCGAGCCGCGGGCTGGGCCGGCGGACGCTCCCAGCGGCACGTCATCGACATCTTCGCAGTCCGGCTCTACCTCCGACAGGTCTGAATCGGAGCTGAGGGGAGAGGAGGAGACCACCAAGTCATGGTGAGTGGTCAGTGTCACTCATTCGTTTATAGTTATTAGTTTTCATAATCAGGTACTCTTGTTATTAATGTCATGTTTTTCTCTTCTTCTCTCACAATTTTACTCAACTTGTGTTACTGGTGCCATGTCACACAGCAGTGCATTAAACTGCATGAAAGATGGTTTTGCGAAACAAGATAATACAGAACTACTTCTGAGATCCCTTCAAGTGACCTCTTATCCACACTTGTGGTGGATGCACTGTCCCACTTGCCCTGATGTAGAGGTGTTCATCACATGGCAGTCAAGCTGACATTTTAGTTTTGAACATTCAGAGAAAATATCCAAATAAGATGAAAACCCATATTGAATCTGATGGTTTTTCCCAAGCAAACACTGGTTATGGAGATGAACCCATCAACTCATTACAACTTGAGAACCCAGTTTCATGATGGGCTACTGCCCGGGTTCAAAGTTGGGAACTCAACATTGCCATCTCAGTAATCTGGCTCTTGAAAAACATGGCCAGCACTCTGAGATGTTTTAAAATGTATACAGAAATGTTTTTACCTAATCCAGGTGTCAACTTTACTGTAACACTGCATGTAAACTTGCTTTGACTTCACATTTCTGACCAAACGGATTGTTTTAACAGGTGGCCACACTGCCGGTTAGAGCTTTGCGATAAAAAAAGGAAGGAAGGAGGTCGAGTTTTAATATCTGGGCGCAGGTGTGAACATAACAGCGCAGGTGATTGTGTTGGCAGTGCTACAGTAAAACATGTTTTCTGTCCAAAAAACAACGAAGATCTTCAACAAAAATCAGTGACGGCTCTCTTCCATGCTTTTTACAAATCCATTTTATAAACAATTATTTTCTAGCGAGTGCCGAAAGCCGCAAAATATTTTCTCAAGGTTGGAAGAGGCACTGATGCTCCATCATCATCTTAAGCCCCCAAAACATCCACTCCCTCCACAAGCTCCTGGTCTTCCTCTCTCTTCACTCATTCAACTATTGGGATTCGTAATATAACCACGGTAAATGTTGATTTAAAGCTTTCGTGACTGCAGTTGATTCATATTCTTGGTTCTTTCGGTAAAGTCACGTTGAATACAAACAGCCACTTCTTTCAAATGTTTCTTGCCGTTGGTTTTCACACCTGATGATGACTCTTTGTGTTAAAGTCGAAACGTCGTGAGAATTTTATTGTTTTATATATATTTTATTATTTTATTGTTTCCCTTCAACTTGACTTTACCGAAAGAACCAAGAATATATATATAACCACGGTAATTATGATGCCCCAGCTTCGACTCCGAGATGCTATCTTTACCAACTATGTTTTCCGCTGAAGATAAAATCAGAACCCGACAAAAGTAACGATGGCTGGCTAAGTGAGCCTTAAAGGTGTGGTTAAATAAGGGCTTGGTCATAATCATCTCTATCAGATGTGTGCGAACGTCGTGTGTGTGTGTGTGTGTTTTACAGCCTGATCCACTGCTGGATGAAGGGCTGCCCCACACCATGTCGACATATTCGACCATACTTTCATTATGCTGACCAGTGCGGGATGGGAGGGGGGAGGGAGCTGGAGGGCCCATGACTGGTTCAGATATCACCCACCGCTGGTGCACGTTATCCACGGCCATAAATCGAACACAGGTCGCCAGATCCATAACGCAGTGTGTGCAAACCATTGCGCCAACGTTGTGTATACATATGTAATAATAACGATAGTAATGCTTGCATATAAAAATTGCTTAAGTTCCTAAGCAACTTAAAGGGTGATACATTTCTAGAAACTCTGCAAAAAGTTTACAGAAAAATTACAAAGACAACATTTTATTTAAAGCCTCTATGCATCTTCCTCCAATCTCAAAAATTGCAAGCAATCATTTAACACTCTCCTCTGTAAGATAAGGAGCTGTCCCTGTCACAGAATCAATTGAGTCATTCGAAATCAGTGGGGTATCTAGAAATGGACCACCCTGTGTGTGTAACTATGTCTGGGATAAAGAGCGGTTGAGGGGACTACAAATGTGTTGCTGTGATGCAATCAGACGGTACACAGTTCATATCAAAAGTGCTCCACCAAACATCTTCTCATGCAACAGGAGCATACTTCCCTTGAACAGAATATCTGGCACAATCGGAGCAAAGCTTAATCACTTCACAGTTGCGGGCTTTGCTGCCAAAGCATGTGTTTCCATTGAACTCAAAACGCTGTGGTAAGTTCCGTACAAGTTTTTGCGGGGTTTTTTTTTTTGGAAGAGACACTTTTTTTTCGCACCAGGTCCAACGTAATGCATGGGAACAGAATGTTAAAACTTTATACGGTGTCAAGTGAACTCGGACAGAAAACAGTGCCAAACACGAATGCCTCCGAGCATACGGATCTCATCAGGAATAAAAGTGCATGTTTTTTTTTAACGCTGTTGGCGTATTTCACACTTGATGAGCACAAAAACCGCTTGAGTGATGTAGAGCTCTTAATGGCAACGACAAAAAATAACAATGACTTCAATGTGTGTGATTGACAAAAAAGCTAAATAATGTAATTAAAACTAGACACGTTCTTTTCAATAACTCTAAAAGGAATGAATGTTTATAATAGTTTGATGTTTCGAGAAATGGCCCTTTCTTCATAGCAGTATGGTCATTGCCATGGTTATGAAAAATGGCCGATGCCTGAAACTTCGCCTGTTATATATGTTATCCTTTTAGGGCAATGTTATTTACGAATGTTCAGTTTTTTTAGTTTTTTGTGCTTGCACGCCACTGTCAACAAAGCAGTATTGCCAAAAATATTCATGAATATGCACACATTCGAAAAGTAAGTCCAAATGAACATTCATTCCACATTTTACTGGTTAAACTTTATTTTAAAAGGACTTTCAATTTAAAGCTTTCGTGACTGCAGGGATTCATCTTCTTGGTTCTTTCGGTAAAGTCGCGTAGAAGGGAAATAATACGATAATAAAAATAAAACAATTACAAATAAAATTGTCACGACGTTTCGGCCACAACACAAGCAGCCGTCCTCAGGTGAAGAAACAGAACTGTCGGAAAGACAGCGCTGTCTTTCCGACAGTTCTGTTTGTGTTGTGGCCGAAACGTGGTGAGAATTTTATTGTTTTATTTTTATTATTGTATTATTTCCCTTCTACGTGACTTTACCGAAAGAACCAAGAAGATTTAAAAGGACTGTTTCTCAATTATGTGTCCAAGAATGTTTAATTTAACACTATAGAAAAAGAAAATATCACACGAGTTATTATAATTGGAAAATAGCGCTTCCTGCAATTTAACAACCTAATGCTGAAACTGAACTGCAATTAAGAAAAGCTGGGCAAGCCAGTGCTAAGAGAGAGCCCCTTTAAACTTTGGAAGGAAAGGAATTTCCAAACCCTATGCAAAGCATGGTTGGCAATGACATTGTTGAGATGCTAAACAGCAACCTACATTAACTTCTGCAGCATATAAGCCAATGCATTAAAGTTTAATACAACCTCTAATTTTGTGTCACAATTCTTCTGATGGACTACATATTACTAATTAATCTCCGATTAGCACGGTTGGCTATGTACGGTGCGTAAGAAGTTCAACATATATAATACGTAATTTTCTGTGAAAAAATGGTCAAATCCTATGGTGAGTGTGTGGTAATGTATACTGTTATGTAAGAATTGACAGCCCTCTGTCAATCCACTGCTGCTAGATAAAGGTCTCCCCACATTGCTCGTGGGGGTTGTTTGACCATACTTCACCAAGCCCATCGGTGTCTGTTGGTGAGGGAGGCCCAGGACTGGTTCAGATAATCACACACCACTTATGTGAGCCTTGCCCAGAAATCTAACTCAGGTTCCTTACTTTCATACTGCAGTGCGCTAACCACGGCACCACTGCACCACCACCACTCCAAAGCAAACCCACACCAAAGCATTCCATATATGCTCACACACCACTTTAATTGGTGTTGCTATATATAGACAATAAGCAGGAAAGAATGCGTATTAAGTCATGAAAAGACAGCACATTCGTTGGAGCACGATGAGATAAAGATGACGCACTAATAGTTTGTTTGGTCCCAGGTGGAATCATTTTCTCTTCCCATTTCCCACACCCCTTCTAAATCTGGTGCTCAGATCGGCTACAAGTCCCTCCTTGGTACGAGAGTTTGAATGAGAAAAGGTTTGCCCAAAGCGAGCCTGCACATCAGGTAGCATGCTGTGACAAGTAAGTGCCCTTGTGGGATGTGATTCTTTTGCATATCAGCAGGTAGCATTACTGTACAATGTCAGGATGACTTATAGTCACGTAATTTTCTTAGGTTTTCAAGTAGATTCATTTGTTAGAGAGTTTGAGATCCTGGCCTTAAGTGTGTTATATATATATACACACACAAAGTGTGGCAATACTTGAATTAATGTGATGTCCGGTTTCTTGTAACTAATAAAATAGGAATGTGTGTGTAAGTGCTTTTGAAAATTTTAAGTAGAATTGTGAAATTATGTTTGGTATTGTTAGAATAAACCAAATTTGAATGTAAATTGCATCTAAAAACGAAATAAACTGATTGCGTTGTGCTGGTATTGATGATGATGCTAATGATCGCCGATGATGATAATAATGTTCTGTAAATCTTAATTCTAGAATAACTTCTAAATTAAGGTGAGTACGTAGAGTTTTCTAACTGTAACCTGTTCTAATGCAGTCACCATTTGTGTATTTTAGACTCGCTGTGCCTTCTTAATCCTGTATCAAGTGACATTAAACGTCGCAACAATTACTCCTGTGCTTTCCATAGCTTGCGTTATCTGTTGGATTTTTATCAATTGTGCTGGATAACAATTATTAGTATTATATATTCTTGGTTCTTTCGGTAAAGTCACGTAGAAGGTAAACAATACAATAATAAAAATATAAAACAATAACATTCTCACGACGTTTCGACTGCAACACAAGCAATCATCATCACACCTGATGATGATTGCTTGTGTTGCAGTCACACCTGATGATGATTGCTTGTGTTGCAGTCGAAAGGTCGTGAGAATTTTATTGTTTTATATTTTTATTATTTTATTGCTTTCCTTCTACGTGACTTTACCGAAAAAACCAAAAATATGAATCCCTGCAGTCACGAAAGCTTTAAATCAAAATTTAATTATTAGTATTGTTGAGAAAATTAAGAGCTCGATTCACATTTTGACAAAGTTGCCAAAACGCTCACGCCTCATCGATTATATACCCATTGTTGGTCATGGAAACATTGACTCATTTTTGCAAAAAAATAATCAAAAGCAAATGTACAGTTTTCAGTACGTGATTCAGTCCCTAAAGTGGACGGTGCGTTTATTTTCACAATGCATATTTGCAAACATAGTGGTGACACTTTAAATTGGTGCAATGACCAGCATAGCATTAATAGTATGTACCTACATATCATCAAGTTGTGATTGGAAAGTGCAACTGCAGAGGAGACTTCAGCAGTACGTGTGCTTTATTGCCCTGACCGACTCAGCCTTAAATGAGTACAGTACCTGGTGCGATGTGTAAACATCAGCATAGGATAGACAAAGGCGGCCAGGCACAGTGCCAGCCACACAACCCCCTCGTATGCCGCGTCAGCTCAATATATGCTCGCAAACAGCACTTGTCCCAAAAACCGTATGTAGGATATACAGGGAATTTTCATCTTTGGCTTTGCGGGTTCGGAACATTCCTGCAATTGGAGGCTATGAGTGTAGAGGAGAGGTGAGGAGTGCGGGTGCTTAGTGAGCAAGGAGCACATGGCGGTGTTCCTGGGGCGAACGTTGTGGTTGCGGCCGTGCCCACCCCACCTGCTCTCCTCGTCCCCGAGGCCCAAACCCATGTCGGCGTAGCGCTCCAGCGTCCCGCTCAGGTTGTGCTGTGCCAGCGTCTCCTCGGGCACCTCCACCAGCTCCACGAGCCGTGCCGACAGTCGCCCGCTCTCCAGCTCGATGCGCTCGGGCGTCACCCACGTGCGCTTGGACACGCCGCCACCGCCGCTGCTGCTACTACCGCCAGCGGCGCCGTCCTCCTCCAATGCTGCCGTTGCCGCCGCTGCTGCCGCTGCTGCTGCTGCTGCTTCGCCCGCTGGCTGGAGCGGCGATGCGCCTGCGGTGCCCGCGCCGGGAAGGCTGGCGAGTGCTGCAGAATGCAGACACAGGGGGACAAGGGGCGACGGAGCGCGAGTTAGAAACGAGCATCGATTTGAGATCGGCAATAGAGCCACCCGTTTTACGGCGCGGACGGAGATTAAATTCTCAGCATCGTGATTGTGGAATCGAGTTGAGTGATGCTCACTTTAGCTAATGGGATGTCACTTTTAACAGCCAGTAAATTGGGTAAAGAGTGACGATGGCAGTAAAGTACAGCTGTCACTTTTATTAATTGTTTTTTAGAAGTTGATGTACAAGAAACTTCGTCAATAGACTTCACCAGACTTGACCCTCTTCAGCTTTATAGCTCATCGGATAAATCAATATTCTGATCAATTCTTAACTTATTATCAAAAGTGACAGCTGTTGTTACAAGTGTGAGTTTGTAATATACTGGCACTGACAGTAATCTAATAAACAGAGCAATTAACGTGTTTGTTATAATGAAAAACACAAGACAGGTAAGTGATTTACACAATGAGATTGCGATACACAGCACTGTTGTTAAACACAATCCCGGTGACCACATTTGAAGAGACGCCTTACTGATAATGTAAACACAACAAAGTTATACCTAGGCACAGGTAATTGGCTTAACTATTCAACATTTATAACAGCCAGCAATAAATGTCATGAATGTGCAGGAAACTTAACTCTTATACATGTATGAAAGCAATGTACGTAATTTTGTTCATTGTCCTGACATTATGCGATGCGTTTTTTTCATTTGTTATTCAAACCCATCATGACACAACACTTGCATTATTGAAAAAAAACAATTATAGCATGAGGCATGAATTAGCACGGTTGGCTGCATACGATGCGAAGGAAGTTCAACATACATTCATACGAATTATGAAATAAAACTTCGAAAATATTTTAGGGATTTGATTACGTGGTTCAAACAAAGAACCGCAAGTTCGTTGTCACCACAAGCCTGAAGTAAAAACATCTGTATTATTCATGTGTCAGAGGGAAACGTGATCCAGACACGCGAGACTCATTTTCAGTTTTACTGAACACAAGAGGACACCGATTTGCATCAGAATGCCCGAGTTCTAGTTTCTCCCCTCCAATTGCAAACACGTATCCTACAACCTCCAGAACCCGCTCTCTCTCTCCCCTTGCTTGCATCAGAAGAGAAACCAGCAAGGCAGAGGTTTCACATCAAAGTGAGCTTTCTTGGTCATCCACTTCACAGAAAACACACGCAGAGCCGAGTGAATGCCCATGAAGCCCCACGGACTAACTCTGGCCCATTATTGAAAAACGGGGCATACATGGTAGTTTTTTTATCTATCTGTCAAACATTCGTTAGATACAGGCTAAGTCAGAATGAGTGGTCTGGCATAGCTGGGGGTCCCCATTGAATGTGCGTCGTATGTTTGTGGTTGGAACAACTACAAGCACGGGGTCATTGTTATCTCCGTTTTGGATTGAGACGCTGCTTGATCCTTTAGCTTTACAACACGAGTTCTTTGCAGGGTGTCATTGACAAAAGCACGAGATCATTTCACTGGTATTAAGCACTGCCATCCTTGCCAATACATTCAAACGTTGCTTTCCTATGTGACTATAAAAGGACACATTTCTCTCACCCCAATAACCCGCAACGTATCGACCAAGCCGGTGGCGTGTGAGTCAGTGAAGCACGTGTGCATTCACGCATACAGAGGAATGTGTTGTTTTTTTATATTTTAACACCAAAAGGCAAAATATACTATGGGTATTCTTGGTTCTTTCGGTAAAGTCACGTAGAAGGGAAACAATAAAATAATACAAATATAAAACAATAAAATTCTCACGATTCCACTGCAACACAAGCAATCATCATCAGGTGTGAAAACTACAGCACACACCTGATGATGATTGCTTGTGTTGCAGTCGAAACGTCGTGAGAATTTTATTGTTTTATATTTTTATTTTATTGTTTCCCTTCTACGTGACTTTACCGAAAGAACCAAGAATATGAATCCCTGCAGTCATGAAAGCTTTAAATCAAAATTTATACTATGGGTGTTTTTTTTTTATTTGGATACAAATACTGGAATTATAATAGGTGAGATTACATTTATTTTACAAGGATGAACTCTGAAACGTATAAAATGGTAATGGAAATATAAATTCACATGAACATTAGGTCTCATTGCAGCACGAACATGCGTTTCGTTATTTATGCTTTTACAAACGCTGAGACGATGACAATGCAGAGACAACCCTGAAATTATGACCATTTCAAATGTCGAGGGTCCTAGTTTAAAGCCTCGAAGATCCTCGAGCCAGCAGACACGTCACACGGCAACACACGCACAGCTCGATCAAAGTCTACGAGGATATGGTCTGATATGAGCAACATGCCACACGCATTCGTTCAAAATGACGCAAACGCACAGCCTCGACCGTCTTCCCGCCTGCTTAATATCAAGCCATTCGCTCTGCGTGACACGAGGGCAGGGAAGTGGTTACACCTGACTCCCGAGTGAGACCTTTCACGGTCCGCAACGTGGCCCAAGACAATTAGCTAGGATTGATTCATCAGATGACTTGGATAGCATCGTTGCGTGGCCGTGTGTGTGGACAGCTTGTGTGAATAAAACACGCTGCTTTGTGCAGTGATTATTTTTTAAACTGCTAAAGGAAAGGCGGCAATATAGGAATGGTAAATAATGTAGACGCGTGTTTTCACGGGGGGTTGGGGAGGGGGAACTCACGCTTGAATGCTTTTAAATGTTTTGCCCCAGACGCTTGCGAATAATAAAAATAATTATTTTCAGCAGTAAGGACTGTCAAGTGTAAAAGAAAACACCACACGAATTACGGAAACACACGCTACATCTTTCCGTAAATCAATACCTTAACATTTTCTTTCAAAACGTATTTCACACATATAAATAACTAACCCTAAGCTCAAGCATATATAGTACTGAAAATATGATATTTTTTTTCTTTTTAAAAGAACATGCTGGTCCAATTCGTACTTGGAACAAACTTGGTATTCGGGTGTCATCGGCCAGACAGTTGGCTGCTCTATGGGCAGCCATGGTTCCTGTATTATGAAACCAAATTTCCAGTGCCCCATCTGCACTGCACAGATGCCACGGCAGTTCCGCCTCTATCCAGTAAGCCCCATCAGTGAGATCTTGGCCAAATCCTCTCACGCAACCACCCTGCATGCTTGTCCGTGTCAAACCAGCCTCCAGCCTCCTCCCCCTCTCTCTTATCCCCATGTGTACCCCCCCCCACCCCTCCCTCTGTCCCCTGTGCTGGCCCAAACCTCTAAACCCTCCCAACCTTCTAACTTTTTTTTTAAGACACACAGCATTCTGGGTAATCATGCCAAACCAAGACAAGGAGGCTGGTGTAACTCAACTCATTTTTATTATTATTTAACGTTGTTTGAGATTGTGTTGCAGGAATGATGATATTTCTTTTTGTCCCCAGGCAATGGGATGGTTTGCTAAGGTGAGAAGAGCATTTCTCTAAGCTCAGTCTCAATAGGGCTTCAATTTGTCTCATTAAAGATTTGTATTTTTTAAAACAAAAGGTAGGAGATATCGTGATGCCTATACGCTACTGTCAGGTGTTTTTTAATAATCGGCGCATAGTTTAATTACAACATTTTACTTCACAAAAAACAATGCTCATAAGAATTCCAAAAGTGTGCAGGTATTGCTCTTACATTTCCCATTAACGCTCAATTGGCCAGTAACACGAGATATTGGAGCTGTGGAAATCGTCTCACGGCTGTATTTTTTTTCGCGTGAAGATTTGGAATTTGGACACGTTCCCAAAAAATAGTCTAGACCGTTTCCTTTGATCTGAGTCACGTTCGGTTCTCGCCACACACGCGCGCACGTCAGAGACTCAGGAAGAGCTCACCCCACGCCCGCTAAGTAAATAGCCCAGAGAACACTTCTGCAAGACCTCACTCTGCGATTACCACCCCTCCCACCACGACAGTCGACACAACCTCAAACGCATAACCCCCGGCTATAACTGCAGACTAAGACCGCTCCCGCACTAACGCATATCAAGTGTGTACGTATGTGTGCATATATATAGATAGACTGGACATATAAATATTTATACACACTCGTAAACATGGCAATATTTTTCGTCCGAAAGGTTTGCTTGTTTTGCTTATTTCATTAAGGATATTTTTCCTAAACAAAAAACCCTCAAGTTGTCAACATGCCCGAGTCCAATTATATTGAATTGCTAGGTTAAACATGTGTTACGGTGGCTCAAAATTATAATAATTATGAAAACTACGGTAATTTTCTTTTAAATTGTCAAGGGTCTTAACTATTTCATTTTGTTTCACGAGCCCCTAGACAGCGTCAAGGACCGGGTTGTATTTGTTGAACTTTCAACGGAGATAAAAGCCAAAATTAACCTCTTTCACACCTGGGAAGCTCCCAAATTTTGGAACGCTTTGCCTCTGCCAGTAAGACAATCAGAATCGTTAGCTATATTTAAGTCTATCTTGAAAACCCTCTTTAAACTGGCCTTCACGCCCTAGTTTCAGGCCGTTTACCCTGGTAATGTTTATTTCCTGCTTTCTATACATGGCACGTTGGGATATACGGATGAAATCCGCCTTGGAAATGTAAATGATTATTCTCATGATAGAGCTTTGCATGGACTGCTCAAGTTTGAACTTTGCGATCATTTCCGCAGCAGTAAGGTGTTTGTAATATTTATAGGGATCTATTGATACGAAACAAGTGCTTTTTGTATCAAAAAACCACAAAATCCATCAGTTGTAAAATTAGCAATTTATTAAACAGAAAAAACTAGAACATTTGAGTTTCCAAGCACATCTCTTTAAAAAAAAAACCTTCAAAAATATAAAATACGTAACAAATGTTCGCTCAAGTGGTGGCAATAAGTTAAGAATTCCACATCCGCAGGTTTTCTTTCGCTTTACACTGTGTCCCCCATCAACGTCAGGAACTTGTTAACATCTTAACGGGGGAAAAGCGACAGCACTACAATTATAAAAACTAAAAAACAAAGTTCCTTCTTCATATAAAAAGTGGTGCAATTAAACAAGGGTATAATCTTCAAAAGGAAATACGTGAACACAGGAACATTACCAAAGCGTGTCAAAGCATTCCACTAATAGTGCTGCCCCTACTGTGTACTTCAACTTCACGTGCAATACTGACTTGCAGGAGCGGCAGTGAGAGCTGTCTGCGACTCCGTGGCCGATTTGTGCAAATAAGTAATAGTGCACAGCAACACTCGTTTCAAGTCCCAAAAGTCGGCATTAAATGAGGTGGAAAAGGTCTTAATGGCCAACCACAATGCTCAACAGACAAGTGCAAAGTAAGACAAATGATTACGTACTCGAGTTGATTACAGCTGTGGTATGGCTCTCAATTTGAATACGTTATCCTGCACCGCCACGCCTTGTTTGGGGGTCCCAATGACTTAAATTCCAATTTCCTGAAGGAATCAAAACAACTTGAGGGTTGGGAAAAATCTCCCCGCCAACAAACAACAACACATTTCCACTTCAAACGTTTAACAAACTTTCTAACAAACGTGCCTTTAAATCTCGGCGCTTCCCCGTCATGTCGAGAGGATTTTTGTTACATTGTTACATTAAGCATTTTTCTTTATTTCATGCATGTAGATAAGCAAATGTTAAATATTTCAAATACTAAAACCTACAAAAACAACACTCAGCCAGAACCGTGACAGAATTCTGCAATAAAAAAAAACATGTGTTTTTTATATCAACTAAAAATCTTTGGTAGTACAATTCACTGTCCACATTCAATAGTTAGCAGTGTTTGAGCAAGTATTATTAGATCATAAGAGAAAATGGTTTGCAATGTAGGATGTCGACTCACTTAACCGTGACAATGTTCCTCCACTTTAGTTCTGTATTTTCCACCTGTTTGGCTCAAGTAAGTGTGAGCATTAAAACAGTGGGGTCACTCCTAGCCAAACGCCAGCCTATAAATTGTTGATATGCTTTCAAAGACTTAATTTGTAGAAAAGGGCAGCGGCGTGGCTGCTTGCAATGTCAATTTCAAAATGTAAACCACGGTGGTTTACAAAGTATTAAACGTGCCACTTCTAAAATAAAATGTCAAGGAAAAACGATTCCATTATTAGTGGCTCTTTTCATTCTTTCTATAATACGGACGAACCACTGGTGGCTCCACCACCATTATCGAGTCTCACACTTTGCAGTCACATTCTTAAGGCCCCTTTGGTTTTTTATGCAACAATGGCACTTGACTTGACACAAGAGAGCCCCATACATGAAGCCAAGCATGTCTGGACACGTGAGAGATGTGAACAGTTTAGGCCGATTCAAACCGTTAAAACTAAAGATACCAACTTTTAAATTCCCACGCGCACAAATGTTCTTGTAAAAAGTAAACAAAAAAACGTCTTTACACGTGTCCAGATATGTTGGCAAGATGCACCAAGCAATGTTCTGCTCAAATGCACTTAACTCTTAGCCCTTTTAAAATGTATAATAAACAGTGTATACAAAATATTTTAAATAGGGCACTGGTAACAAGGAATTCCTACACGGTAATTTGAAGACGTAAGGCCGCGCGTGTCTGCAATATAAATTTTCAAGCGAAATTGGCCCCCAAAAAGGAGTTTGGTCTGAGCACACTAATGATGCCACAAAGGTTTTTGCAAAGGTGGCATTTGATGAGCAAACTGAGAAAAAACTTTAACTGTACAAATTAGGCCATTAATTTCCTTCAAAGTGGCCTTATTGTATTTAAACGAATCACAATGTCTACCTAAAAGTGGAATTCACAATCATCGTTGATTCATATTTGTATGCTCAAAAAAAATGTGCAAGTCATTTGTTATTCAACTTCAATAAAACATCAAACGATGATATAAACCCCTCTGCAATGGTAAGGTAGTGATTCTCCCCCACTGTATAAAGTGATTTCACCCATTAGAATGCGGTGAGCGATTTCCTCATGGCGAGCAACCGACTGCGCACTCCAGACATGCAAGGCAGGCAGGGGACACCTCTTACAGTCGCTGGTCACGCAGCCACTGGGCCAGCGACTCCCAGCCGAGAACCTCGGGGAATGACGCCCTGACCTCACCCGCCATCTGTGCCAGCACCTCGGCCTGGGCGCACAGCAGCGGGAGCCCTACTCCGAGCAGCGAGCACGCGTACGTGTAGCTCGGGTGGTGGTGCGCCACGTGGTGGCGCAGGGCGCGCCCCGCGTCCCCCGCGCGGCCGCACAGCTCGCGTGCCCGCCGCCACGGCGTTCCCGCCGCGTGCCTGAGGAGGGAAAGGAGCGGGACCCTGTCGGTACTGCTGTTGCTGCTGCTGCTGCCACTACCTGCGGCGGAGCCGGAGAGGAGAAGGGCGTCTCGGTTTGGGGAGCCGGGGACCGGCTCACGGAGCGGCGAGGACGGCGCTGGCTGCAAGGAGGAGGGTGACCGCGTCGGAGGCTTCTCCTCCTCGTTTCCAACCTGACAAACAGACATCAACAACGGGGATTTTAATGTACGCAGCATCGAAATGTAAAACGCACGTCGAGATGCTCTGCAGCAAAGACAGATATGTGTGGGAATCATACGGATTTTCAACGCACAGTCTTCTTTTTCTTTCTTATGGATGATCTAGATGCAGAGCAACAACTACAATTTCACATTCAGGTGGTCACAAGCCAGATAACTGCGTCCGGAGTAGCAGAGTGGATCATCGCTGTGATGTCTCCTTCGTTTTTGTGGATCGGGCATTGCATCGTTATACGCTGTACGGTCTTGTTCTGGATGACCACAGTCGCACACTACTGGAGAGTTTTTAAGTTTCCATTTGTGCATCAGGTATCCGCATCTGCCTTGGTTTGTGTGGATGCAGTTTAGAGTGGATCATGAGCTTCGTGGAAGATCAAACCCAGAGGCATCTTCTGCGTTGGGTCTTTCACAAGGTGCTGGTTGTTTGCAAGTTCTTTAGAATTGCATTCAGCTTTGCAAGCTTCATCGGGGTTAAACTCGCATTGTTGAATGTTAAGCGCATAGGTCAAAAAGGGCTTGCATGACTTCAAGAAATGACGAGGGACATTATTGAGGTCCTGATGAATGGGAAGGCGACTGTTTTCCTCGATTCGCACGACTTTCTGGAGGGTTGCAGCACTGTGGTGGATAGGTCAGGGAGAGATGTGTGAAAGCACGGGCAGCCAGGGTGTTGGGGTCGACTTGAGGCATTCAGTGATACACCACATTGCAGTGTTCAGTTGGGCATCAAGTCGAGTATGACTGCTTCTGGTCCATACTGTTGCACAGTACTCAGCTACAGGGTACAAAAGGGCCATCGTATAGTAATAGGTTTTACCCTTTTAACTGGCACAAAAACTGACACCTTTATTCAAGGCATCATGTTTGCAATAACCACAACACAAGCAGTCAAAATGCAAACAAAAGAGACAGCTCTGATAATAATATGCACTGTCCTTGAATTTGATTGGTCCACACCCGAGACGGCTTTTCTTAGAGCCTAGTCTCCACTGCTTGTGTTGTGGTTATTGCAAACATGATGCCTTGAATAAAGGTGTCAGTTTTTGTGCCAGTTAAAAGGGTAAAACCTAATACTATATCCTGTTACTGGCAAAGGAGGTCTCATAATGTAAAAGGGCCATCGTTGATGTCCGTAGCACTGGTGCTGATGCTCCCCAGCTTGTGCTTGCTAGTTTCTGGACCAGGTTGACCTTGTTTTGGTCTTGGCAGCTACCTCTTTTCAGGTGGTCGTGGAAGGTTAGCGTAGGGTCCAGCACAGTGTTGCCGCAGAAGTTCACTTTCAGAGTGTGCTTGGCGCTCCTATTGTTAAGATGAAATGCAGTGACCGTTGTCTTGTGGGGATTTGGCTTGAGCCTCCATTTCCAGACATAATCCACCATGGTTTCTAGGTCTTGATTCAGAGTGGAGTCGATGTTGTTGAAAGTGCCTGCTTGCATTGCCAGGGGCAAGGTCATCCGCAAATACAAATTTGCGTGACCTGGTTGGTGGCATGTCACTCGCATAGACATTGAAGAGCATTGGCGGGAGTACTGAACCTTGTGGCAATCCATTGTTGAGGAACTGGGTTGAGCTGGATTTGTTGCCCATATAGACACGCAGTCGCCTATTGCTCAGTATCGTCCATATCAGGCATATTGTTTCGAGGCAGGGAATGGTCCTTGCGAGCTTCAACATCAAGCCCTTAATCCAGACTGTGTCACAGGCCGATGACAAGTCTACAAAGGCTGCGCCGGTCTTGGATTTGTTCTGGAATCCAGCCTCGATGTGTGTCGCAAGGGCCAAAACTTGGTTACAGCAGCTTCATCCAGACCGGAATCCCGCTTGTTCTTCAGGGATCACCGACTCGACGAGGGAGCTGATCCTCTGGATGATGCGTTCCAGGAGTTACAGGTCATGTACAGGAGTGATATTGGCCTATAGCTTTCTGGGTTGTCGGTTGGCTTGCCTGGTTTGTATATGGCAATGACCATCGCCTCTCGCCATGCTTTTGGGATGCATCCGGTTTTCATGCTTTTTGTGTACAGTTTTGCCAGCCATTGGGGTCCCCTAGCGCATAAGTGATGGTGCAATTGAATGAAATTGATTGTTTGTCCATCACTGAATCATTTGACTCATATTAGACCGAAATTTACCAGATTTAAACATTTCAAAACTACAAGTTTGTTTTTTGAGAGGGGGTGGCTTGACCCGGAAAGCGAGCAAAAAGTTTCACGCCGGGGAACTAACAGCTCAGTGAACACCTTCTCAGTGTCCATCTGCAAGTCGCAAAGCATTAGACACCGAGCAAAATATGAGAGTGCACGCCACAACAGTGCATGTCTGGACAAGGCCCTCAAAGGCTCAGTGAGTTTAAGTCATAAGATAAAGTCAGAAGATGAAGCCAAAGTGGACTCCAGCTCAAACATGCATGGGGAAAGCTCATCTGTTTAAAACTCTGAGCCCGTTGTGCAAAGGTCCACACTTCTATAACATTGGTGGATGAGTTGATATACAGACAATCACTGTTGTATGACATTATGGGTAGCTGACGGCAGTGCAGCAAAATCCATGTTTGCACTGTACAATCGTCCAACGTCTATGCTCACGATGCAGTAACCCTCGCGACCCGCATGGCATGGAGTAGCCCTCATCAAGTGGTGGATTGACAAAATGTCTGTAAATGTACACGCAAATTTTAGAGCAGAATAAATGCATTTTAACGGTCATCTCCCCTTTGGAGAAAGGACGTGTCACTGATGAATTGGCACAACGGTGTCCAGAAGCAGTGCTTTACCTCCGCGTCAAGGGCCATCTCATTGCGCTGCATTTTCCTCTGCATGAACCCTGACAGGCGGTAGCAGTAGTGAGGCTTGCAGTAAAATTTTCCTAAAGCAAAAACAACAAAACACGGAGGTGAATAAAGACCAACATGGCAATAAAGAGCAACACGACAATGCAAATCCAGCAAATGGAACTCGGACGAGTCACTTCAACACCACAAGCGTGATCACATTGTCCCTTCTTCTTCTGCTTATTCTTTCGTACGGCTGAAGTAGATGCAGAACAACAACGACAATTTCACTTTCAGGTGGTCAAGCCAGATAACCACGTCAGGAGCAGTGGAGTGTATCGCTGTGATGTCTGCTTCGTATTTGTGGATCGAGTATTGCGTTTGTTATATGTTGAATGGTTTGTTTTGGATGGCCTCAATAGTACCTTGGAGCGTTTTTTTTATTTTCCATTTGTCCATCAGGTATCTGCATCGGCCATAATTTGAGCGGATGCGATTTAGGGTGGACTATTAGCTTCGTGGGAGATCAAACCTAGGAATCTTCTGTGCTGGGTCTTTCAAAATGATGATAGTTTTTGGGTCTTATGAAAGACCCAACAACATCATCTATAACGTCGATTAACTCCAAGTTTGGAGGCACGCAAATTAACAACCGAGCGATCAACAGCTCAAGCAGAGAGCAAAAAAACATTACATTTGAACTAAGAATGAATATAACGTTCTTCCCTCAAACAAATTTAATAGAACTGATGAAATACAACTACTTTCCAAGTTCATTCGGCCAGAACATACATGAGGCATCCAAATGAACGACCATTCTTGATGCAATATATATTCGGATCGATTCAGGATGAATAAGGAGATTTTGGACACTTGTCTGGCAAGCGATACATTTTTAATCCAACGATGGGAAACAATCTACGCTGATGGCGTTAAACCAGATCTGGGCTATCCGATTATGTAAGCAATAATCATCTCATTGAATTATTGGTTCTATTACACGACTAATCGGATAACACAAAGATAACATTTGTTTTAAGTCTCACCTCTCTTCCCACATGTGCCGCTGGACAGGAATAATGAGCAGGGCTTGGTGATGTACTCAGCATCACTGACGGGGGAGGAGGCAGGATGCCGGAGTGGCCGCATATTTTTAATAGGGCCCGAGCATTTGAATTCATCTCCCCTGTTCTACTTTGGACATAAACGTTGCACAACCTGGCCACGTAATATCTAGGACGACAATGATTTGAGCAAGGCATTCCGACCGGCGTACCGTCTTCCACGTCGAATGCGAATGCTCCCAGGCGTAATGTGACATCGCAGTAGTTGCACTTGAAGCAGCCGCGGTGGAAGAACTTGCCCTCGGCGCTCAGACGCTCCATCACGTAGACTCGCCGCCCGCAGAAGTAGCACGTGTCGCTACCACCCAGATTCTGGGGAAACTCTTTCCGCAGGGAGCCCTTCCGTGTGCACACATACAACAGGGAGGAAAAATCACGAGGAAACCATGTGAATAATTATATCAACGAAGACCTCATTGCAGCCAACGTTATTGATGTCGCCGCACCTAATCATCATTTCCCTTCTTCCAGATCCTGTAGTTTTATAAAGTAAGCACTTCACCAACAAGATCCCCTCTTAGAGTCATCATCATCTGTGATCCCTCGAGGTTGAGTATGATGATCGTCCATGGACAGCGATGATGGTCAGTTTGTGGGTTCACAGGTGGCTGATAAGGCAAATCCTGGAACCAAATATCTTATATTCTTGGTTCTTTCGGTAAAGTCACGTTGAAGGGAAACAATAAAATAATAAAATATATGTAAAACAATAAAATTCTCACGACGTTTCGACTGCAACACAAACAGTCATCATCAGGTGTGAAAACCAACGGCAAGAACATTTGAAAGAAGAGGCGGTTTGTATTTATTTATTTATATTCAAGAATATGAATCACTGCAGTCACGAAAGCTTTAAATCAAAACCAAATATCTTGTTACACTTTCTTACAGTAGCCCACCATCTGAATGTGGGTCTTCACTTTGGTCGCTAACCTCTGGGTGCCTCTCTAAGGCCTCTCTCAGTAATCTGCATTCCTCCATTATGCACACCTTCCCCATCCACCGTGACATCCGCTGCCTGATTACATCTACATCTGCTGTGAAATTCCGAGCATCCTCTGCATGCACCTGCAAACAAAGGCCATAGCGTATTTGCTATATATGTAAGGGATAAATAGATCTTAGGTTGGCATTTGTCCTGATATTTGTTTTACAACAGTTCAGAAGCTCAGTCGTACAAGCAATAGTAGAAAAGCAATGTACCTGAAAAGGTTGCAGATCAGATAGAAGCATCGCCCCATCACTGCTTCTCAATACAATCTCCACTCATCTCAACATACGAATAATGCCAACCTCTAAAGCGCTGTAACATTGCAAGCCATTTCCAAGTTGCTCAAACATATCTCTTATACTAGAAATTGAAAAGCTGCCCTTTTCATACATTAAAAAATAACTAGATTAAACTCTCGATAATCTGGGGTAATGGGCAAGGCTGTCCAGAGAGGGGGCAAAAAGGGTAATTTGCCAAAGGCCTCAGACAAGAGAGGGCCTCACAACAGTACTATTTTTGACTGTCACTAATGAATAAGGGGGCCTCAAGTGGTGCTTTCCCCAGGCTACTGGGAAGCCCTGGTAAAGGGCAGACAAGTAATTTGGAGAAAAGAAAACACAAATAATACAAATATACAAACTAGGCTATTAAAACATATAACTGCTCATTTTGGCTGCGAAAGTCTACAAGTTAAATAAAAGTTATTGTTTACCTACTGAGGGTGGAGATGAAACCTTAGAATGTGTTTGCCTATATTGCTCTTTCAAGTAATTATTTTACTTGCTGGCTTTTCAGCTGTCACTTGGGCACGTAGTCATAGACCCTCGATGAGTGAGGGGACCCAAATGATTAAACCAGCATGGGTGTAAACATTTATGACATTTTTTTTCTAAAGCACTGTTCATCTGCAACCCAGATAATCTGAGCAGATATAATCGAGTTGACGCCATTCCTTTGGATCATGATGCCAGTCATGTGCCAAAAGCCTTGAAATCCACTTGACCAATGTACCCATACGTATTCCTTAAAAATTCCAAAGAATAACAGGAATACCAGCATTTAGTTATTTCTGTTTAGTACTGGGATTTTGTCCAATGTGTAGGAAAAATATATAATCTGCAAAACATGCCCGAGAAGGTTAAAACCAATTGCCACTTCTGTTGTGATGAGGCAGGAATTAAAGCACACTTGCTGGTACTGAAACGTGATGCATCAACTGCTCTGACATACACTTACGTAAGTGTGTCCACACACATGCAGTCAAGTTGTTTGTCACATTGCTCAACGTGAAGGCATTATGGTTACAATATCAAGATTATACTAAATGCATGTACATATGGGAAAAGGCTCAAAATACCACACAAAACTACTGCATTGTGAGCTTGCAACCAGCATTTGCCACACACCCCACTTTACACCACAAGCCTGAAGAAGCACGTGGTATTAAGCATGAGAAAAGACTACCACGTGGATGTACACAGCAAGTTAAGACTGGCCTTTCACAACCATTGTCTGTGGAATAATCCAGCGACTCAACCGTTGAAAAGTTTCTGTACCGTGGAAACGAGCGCTAGCACCAAGTTAACTGTAAACACAACTTATTATGCTAGTTTATTTGAACAGGACATGTCACTAAAGTCTGCCAGTGCGTGCTGAAGCGTGCTCAAACAAGACGCCTTCAACAGCTTACAGCAGGCCAAACAGACGCCACCAAGCTACTCAAGTGTCAGGCCTGAATGTAAGCCAAGGAAACTCATCGCTAGACCACATTCAACAATTTATGTTTTTCTTTGGAATGATTGCAAACAGTACAAACGGTCTGTGTAAAAGAAAACATCTTAATGAACATTCAAACCACGAGTTAATATTTTTTTAAAAGCCAACTTTCAGAAAACTATATCCATTGCGCAAACGAGGCTCAATGCAAACACAACATGGGACTAATTCCTGTTGCGATTACTTACTACCACAACATTCATTATTCCTAACAGGAAATTTTTCGTAATTTACAATTCAGTACCGTGAACACATTTAGACTGCATTGTACGGATGCATGCAGTAGAATATAATAAATGCAAACTCATCGGAGCTGAAATAGATGGTTCCTGCATACAATAGTGGTAACATAACAACATTGTTTTAACATGAATGACTCTTCAACAGACGCAGAAGGTCAAAACCGGTTGTGACTTTGCCTGCTTATGCAAGTGCTGTTTTGAAACATTAATCAGAAACGCCTATTTGTCTGCTCTCTCGCGAGTTCAGCAGTTCCACTGCTGGATGATATTTTTCTGCCTGAGGACGACCGCTTGTGTTGTGATCGAAATGTCGTGATTTATTTTATTTTATACCTAAGTGAGGGAAAAAAGTATTTGATCCCCTGCTGATTTTGTACGTTTGCCCACTGACAAAGAAATGATCAGTCTATAATTTTAATGGCAGGTTTATTTGGACAGTGAGAGACAGAATAACAACAAAATCCAGAAAAATGCATGTCAAAAATGTTATAAATTGATTTGCATTTTAATGAGGGAAATAAGTATTTGACCCCCTCTCAATCAGAAAGATTTCTGGCTCCCAGGTGTCTTTTATACAAGTAACGAGCTGAGATTAGGAGCACACTCTTGAAGGGAGTGCTCCTAATCTCAGCTTGCTACCTGTATAAAAGACACCTGTCCACAGAAGCAATCGATCAGATTCCAAACTCTCCACCATGGCCAAGACCAAAGAGCTCTCCAAGGATGTCAGGGACAAGATTGTAGACCTACACACGGCTGGAATGGGCTACAAAGACCATTGCCAAGCAGCTTGGTGAGAAGGTGACAACAGTTGGTGCGATTATTCGCAAATGGAAGAAACGAAAAAGAACTGTCAATCTCCCTCGACCTGGGGCTCCATGCAAGATCTCACCTCGTGGAGTTGCAATGATCATGAGAACTGTGAGGAATCAGCCCAGAACTACACGGGAGGATGTTGTCAATGATCTCAAGGCAGCTGGGACCATAGGCACCAAAAAACAATTGGTGACACACTACGCCGTGAAGGACTGAAATCCTGCAGCGCCCGCAAGGTCCCTCTGCTCAAGAAAGCACATATACATGCCCGTCTGACGTTTGCCAATGAACATCTGAATGATTCAGAGGACAACTGGGTGAAAGTGTTGTGGTCAGATGAGACCAAAATGGAGCTCTTTGGCATCAACTCAACTCGCCGTGTTGGAGGAGGAGGAGGAATGCTGCCTATGACCCCAAGAACACCATCCCCACCGTCAAACATGGAGGTGGAAACATTATGCTTTGGGGGTGTTTTTCTGCTAAGGGGACAGGACAACTTCACCGCATCAAAGGAACGATGGACGGGGCCATGTACCGTCAAGTCTTGGGTGAGAACCTCCTTCCCTCAGCCAGGGCATTGAAAATGGGTCGTGGACGGGTATTCCAGCATGACAATGACCCAAAACACACGGCCAAGGCAACAAAGGAGTGGCTCAAGAAGAAGCACATTAAGGTCCTGGAGTGGCCTAGCCAGTCTCCAGACCTTAATCCCATAGAACATCTGTGGAGGGAGCTGAAGGTTCGAGTTGCCAAACGTCAGCCTGGAAACCTTAATGACTTGGAGAAGATCTGCAAAGAGGAGTGGGACAAAATCCCTCCTGAGATGTGTGCAAACCTGGTGGCCAACTACAAGAAACGTCTGACCTCTGTGATTGCCAACAAGGGTTTTGCCACCAAGTACTAAGTCATGTTTTTCAGAGGGGTCAAATACTTATTTCCCTCATTAAAATGCAAATCAATCTATAACATTTTTGACATGCGTTTTTCTGAATTTTGTTGTTGTTATTCTGTCTCTCACTGTTCAAATAAACCTACCATTAAAATTATAGACTGATCATTTCTTTGTCAGTGGGCAAACGTACAAAATCAGCAGGGGATCAAATACTTTTTCCCTCACTGTACGTGACTTTACCGAAAGAACCAAAGAGCAAGAAAAACATTTTTTTTTAAATGTAGAGAGATGGACTTGTCTTTTAATTTATTTACATCAGAAATAGATGAATACACGCACAGCTGAATTTTGAAATGCCAGCTCTCATTGTATCCAAATTAGCTTTTAGTAACGTGTACAACAGTTCAGCTTTTCATTTAATAAAAATATATATATAGTTTATGGTGGGATCAGAATTTACATAAATGCGGAGATGATCAGTCGAGTGATTTATAGACGGTCTCTCTTAGGACATGACACCAGCTTAACCCTGGAAGAACAGTTACTCTGTAGTTCAGAGCATCAAATGCCAAGTGAACAAAGCAGATGGGGATCAAAGGCAGGAGATCAAACTCATCAGCAC